ATTCACCTCAAGGATCGCATTAATAATTCAATTAGTTAATTACACTTACTTACAATAGAATTTAATATTTCTATATAATAATAAATTATTCAGGCTTGGTCGGGAAGCGGGAGCGATCGCTCTCGAACACTGACCACGGAAATTATATTTAGTTGCGTAAAACTGGCCAGGTTTTTTAGTCGTTTTGAAAACATTTAAGTTTATGTACGAAACAAAATTTTTTTGTTTTACGGACATACATGGAAACATAAAAAAACTTGAATGTTCTCAAAACATCTTTGTGCGAAAGAATAAAAAGAATATTTGCGAACACTAAAAACCCGCCAAATTAACGAACAAACTAATTCTATTGGTTCAAAAAATACGCTGTTTAAGCGAAATAAAGTTCTAGAGTATTCTGTTAAAATGTTATAAAAAATTGTATTATACACGATTTGTTACCTTTTGAGATTTCTAGCATTGTTTTAAGAATATATATTATTTGTTTACGAAAATAAATGTTTTAAATATATATTGAATAAATTGTTAAAATTTTAAAAGTTTATTATAAATCATAGATTTTATTAGTATATTCTTATTTTTTATTTTAAAAGAGATTGTAATCTTTATGTAAATGTAATTTTGTGTATTTTTTTTTTATCGTAATGTATCTTTTAAAGTAATTTTTATGATTTAAACAAAGACTTAAAAAAATAATTGCGTTTTCAATGAAGTTATAATCGTTAAAGTTAATAAAACTAATTATGTAACAAACATATAAGTAGTTTCTGGTTACTAAACACAAAAAACGCATACGAAGTAACTCGCGGATGAACAAGCATCGCGCCTGAGGTCACGACAGTACACAAATATATATAGCAAATAATTAGATATAAAGAGAAGATTCTAGATATTGGTTTACTTACTCTAATTATTTTCGCTTAAGTTGCCATTCTTAAAACTCGTTATACTTTTTTCTGCTTTAAATACTAATTAAAATTAAAAAGCCCACTCACTAAACATCTTCAGCGATATTTCGAAGCAGTTTCGCTTCCTGGTCATTAAGTATTTTTAACCTTTTTAGTTGATTTCTATCTTGATTATTTAATTCCTATAGTAATTCAATGATTTAATTATTTCATTTGTTTATCTTACTAAGAAGAATCGTTTCAAATATGTTAAACTTTTCAAACTACGCGAAACATAAAATAGGTATTAAAAAAATTAACTTTTTTATTTATAAAATAATTTATCTTAAGTAAAACTAAAACTTGCAAACTTAGTTAAATAAAGAATATTTATTTCTCTTTTAAACAATCGTAAGTTGTTACTTTATATAAAAAACATCGCTTAATTTTATTTTTTTTTTGTAATTGTCTCTCATCGGTCCAATTAATCTTCGTCGCTTTTTTTTTTTTTGCTTTTTAAAATGTTCTCAAAACGACTAAAAATCTGGCCAGCTTTTCGCAACTAAATATTATTTACGTGGTCAGCAATCGAGAGCGATCGCTCCCGCTTCCCGACCAAGCCTGATTATTGTAGAAATATATCCAAGTGGGCACACTTAAATTATAAAATATTGTACATGTATGCTCTAATTTTTCTTTAACTCTACTTTATAAACACAAGTATATTTGAGAAAGTTGACTACCTCTGTTTTAGACTCTATTCATAGATTTCTGCTTTTTTGCTAATGGCTTCGCATCTCTTAATGCTCTCTCCTAATAACAATACAGATCTAAAACTTTTTTTAATGATTCTGAGGCAACCAGTAACCAGGCTCCCAAAATCTGAGATAACTCTTAGTAAGTGTTATCTCAGATTTTTGCAAGTTACAAACCATTATTTGATATTTTATAACTGCTTTACATCAGTTGTAAAATAACAGAGTGATATGTTGGGCATGGATGGAGTCTCTAGCCTTTAAATCCAAGCTTTGAAATCCAGATGCAAGAAGCATATATATATATATATATATATATATATATATATATATATATATATATATATATATATATATATATATATATATATATATATATATATATATATATATATATATATATATATATATATATATATATATATATATATATATATAGGGTATCCCAAGGCATCAGCACTGAAACAAAGTCGTAGATGTTTTTATCTGAAATAAAAAAAGAAATTTACTTTAAAAAATAATAAGTAAATAAAAATAACAGTTGCTATATTTATTAATAAAACTTACCATACAAGGAACAACAGAGTTCCTCTTTGGATGGTATATAGCGTTTACCATAGCTCAATATAATGTCACTGTTAAAGTTTTCAACCATTTTTATTTTATCTCCTTGGTCGACATTGTCATCAAATAATGATAAAGCAGCTACTTTATCACTTAAATACCATAGATGCTGGCTTAATTTCTGCACAGCTGCTTTCAAAACACTTTTTTTTCGATTGTTTCGTAGACTTTCATTGATTTTAAAAAGCATAAATTCTGATATGGTGCTTTTATAGCCAAAATGCATTGTAGCTATGGCTTTACGTAAGATGTTGCAATGAATAAGCAAGCATCTAATAGTGCCTCCTTATCCTTATTTAACATTTTTAATTACTCATTAAAAAATGTCATTTTCAGGGCATAAATTGCTTTTGCCATCCACCTGGCATGGTGCATGGCACCTGGAGGTCTAATTTTAAATGTTCTATTTTTATCTCTGCCTAAAAATATGATTGAGAGCTGAATTATTTCTGAATTATAACCATCTTGGACTATAGATTTCGTTAACTCAGATTCATAAAATTTCATCAAGTTTTCTATTTCTGAAATAGTCAAATAAGAATCAATTTTTTCTTTGAAGCTCTGTATTTTACTAAAGTTGACACTTTTCCAGTTATCATGGAACTTTTTAAACAGCGGAATATCAGAGCTTGTTGTTACTTGGCTGATTTTTGCTTCAAATACGGCTTTTAATATTAACTCATATATGTGATGATGGCAAGCAAAAATGAGCAAATCTCTGTCTAGCTTCTGTTCAAGCAATACACAGGTGCCATTAATACCACGTGTGTTAGATGCTGTAGTATCACAACAAAGAATTTGAACTTTATCCTCAAGATTCTAGTCTACAAGTGCTTTCCAAACTGCCTCTGCCTGTTTTCTTCCTGATGAGTTTTCTAATCTTGGCACAGCAATCAATTGTTCTTTATTTCCATATGAAACAACTATCGGTAGACATTCTTCTTTTGATTTTCGGGCATCTAAAGCAGGCAACAGTTTTCCATCAAAGTGAACGGTCACAACCTGTGACATCTCATTTTGAAAATCTATTTTTATAGCTTCAGTGCGCTCTTTGCGTTTTTTGATGCGAATTCTTTGAATTGAGGACTTACTTATTGGAAATTCATCAGTATTGTATACAAGTACCTCAATAGTAGCCTCAAGAATATACACAGAATCTCTCATACTTAATTGACACCTGTCTAGCTCTGCTACTAATTTTGGAGTGATAAAGTTTTTCCGCATAGATATTTTACTTGTTTCGGGTTGCACGCTCTCGATCTGAGTTGGCTGAGTTACCTTCTAAATGTAAGTCTTCATCCGAAGCAGATGATCAATCTTTTTGTAATGTATCATGAAATGATGACAAAGGAATTGACTCTGCGAAATAGTTAGATCTTCGTTTCTCTTCCTCAATAATTCTTAAGCGCGCCCTTTCCTCCTTATTGGCCAGTTTTTTGTCTACACCACTTAAGTGACCTGGTCGACCTGGCTCCCTTTAACATTGCAAAAATAACTTATCTTTCTTCTATTTTAATTAAATGAAGTGCATCCGCGTGAGCAATATCAAACAAATTGTCTAAGTTTCTGACAAACTCTTGTTGACGTTGTTTAAATATGTCTTGGGTTTTGTGTGCATTTTTTTGAAAATCCCTACAAACTTGATATAAATTTACACAATTTTACAAAATTCTTTACACAATTAGGAAACGATTTCTTAGGTATACGCGCCTTTCCCCAATAAATAATACACTCCTTAACAGTGAGATTTGCAATACAATTTATATTTAATTTGACTTCACGAATGTTATCAAATAGCACTGCTAAAACTTGTCCATTAGAAGGAAGCTTTGATCATGTTATTTGATGTTTCGTGCCACCTATTAAAAATATATCATTTTTATAACTGCGTTATTGTACAGACATGTTGGCAGAGCAAAATCAATGGGAGTACTGAACTCTACAGTAAAAGAAAAGAAAGTTATAACAAGCACATCGATCGTTCGATCGTTCGTGCGTATATATATACATGTATATATTTATGTAATTTCATAATTTACTTACTGTAATTATTAGTCAAATCAGACAAGTTATCTCAAATAAAAACAAAAAAAAAGCAGCATAGTAACAAATAATATGTAAAAAACTAGTGTTTTATTAAAATTAAAAAAAAAAAAAATCATTTTTCTCATAGCAAGTGCTTGCAACAAATAAATGAATAACTTCTAACTGACTTAATAAAATAGTTATGCTTAAGCATAGCAAAGGCATTCATTCAAAAGTTAATAAAACTTTTTGTGTTTTTTTTGTTTTTTTGTTTTATTGCTTTTATTGTTTTATTTGCGTTTAGTCTTTAATAAAACATTCAAAGATAGGTTTAGTTAAATATAGTCTTTAGACTAAAGCATAGTAAAGTTAAGTTTTGATAAAACAAATGTGGAGAAGAAATATTATATATATAATTTAATATTAAAACAACTAAAAATATGAAGTTTTACACAAAGAAAACTCTTAAACAGGTCATAACATGCCTATTAAAACAGTTGATGAAAAATGTGATTTTTAGTTCTGTGACTTTTAAGCAAATGATTTCAAAGAACTTAATTCTATTTGATATAAAATAGAGGAATATATATTTAAAATAATTTCTTGAATTTGTTTAACTGATCTAGTTAAAATTTGGATATAAAAAAACATTAAAATAAAAACATTAAAGACATAAAATTTTCTTTCAGCTGAAGAAATTAAAAAATACCTGAGTCATGACAGGCTCATAAATCTTTCCAGAAAATTTGTCTTGATTGCTGCGCAACCACAACACAGCATCATAGCAACCTCTGTCAAATCGTCGAAGAGATTCAAGCTTCAAATTATCTGCACTTTCTAACTTTTTTAATTGTTCTGTTGCATCTTAAATTAAAATAATGGAAATTTTCAAAAACAAAACAAAACAAATTTACCAGTTAGTGTTAAAGAAGCAAAGTTTAAAAAAATTACAAAGGTTTGGAATTCAGGTAATATTATAATAATAATATAAAGAAAATATTTGAATACTAATAGTTTAATCAAGACAAAACCTATCATTAAAGAAAATCTCTAACAAGATCCTTAAAATATTGCTACCTTTAACTCAAAAAAACATTTTTACAATTAAATTAAAAGTAAAATTATAACTTAATAATTTAAAATTAAACTTTATACAATTTTTAAAACAAACTAAATCAACTCAAACTTTGTTTTCATTCTCCTTCAACAATAAGTTTTTTTTGGTTTAGTTTTAGTAATTTTTTTTTTTGTTTAATTATGCTTCCCTCTTATAACTGTTGTTATAAACCTCTCTTAAATCTTTAACTCAAAAACACAATCTTACAAGTTAAGCGCAGTACTATTTTACATTAGTACTATACTATATTATATACTATGATGCGCAGTAGTGGTGTGGCAGTAGAGCACTTGCCTCATAAGCGAGAAGTTCTGAGTTCAATCCTCACCATTTCTCCATGCAAGGACCTTGTTCATCAAGGTTGTGTTTGGGAGTTATAGAGTTGAGAGAGGGTTGTAACCACAACTAAAGTAGCCTCCTAAAATGTAGTGGCCTTTACCGCCTTGGTAAGGTAAATTAAAATTAAAAAAAAAAAAAAATTAGGGTCTTAGTGGGGATCACACTTAAAACTTTTCCCATACTTCTTGCCTAGGCCTCCAACACTACTGAATATAAGTTTGTCATTGATTTTTTTTAAAAAAAATTTAAATACTTTCAATGTTTCCTTTGTGTTGGCTCTTCTCATTTAAAAATTCGCTGGCATCTCTAGTGAGACTGTTGAATTGCTTGGTTAGATTTTTAATAACTTCAGAAATTCTGTCGCTTTCAGGCTAAAAAATAAAACATATTTTCCAAAAACAGTGTTTTGAAAACATACCTCAAAGAACTAATAAAAAATTATTTATATTAATAAAAACTAATGTTTACAGTTCTAATAAAATGAATTATATAACTTAAAAAGTTAAAGTGTGAAACAAAATTGTTATATATAAATATGTATTTATATAAAAGTTATACATATATATATATATATATATATATATATATATATATATATATATATATATATATATATATATATATATAGCGTGGAAAATAACGGCCGGTCAACAGTCAATGACCGCCTGAATTGACTAAAAATGCTTTTTTGAAATCTCAAAATAAATTCTTGCCGGTCAACTGGTAAAAAAAAATCAGAGATTTAAAAAAGATTTGAGAAAAAATCAGGATGTTATTTGAAAATGCATTTAATAAAACTTTGATAAACTATTTCAATTTTGAAATAGGTTTTAAATAGTTTTCTTGTTTATTATACGCTACTTTAATTGCTAGCGGGTCATTAAAGCAAAAAATTTGAAAGCAAAAAAAGTTTGAATAGAAGTTAAAGCGAATTTTTTCTTTAATTCTTTTATTTTGAATACTGCCTGGTTTTTATCTTTGTTTTCAAAACGTTTAAATAGATTTATTTTTTATAAATATAATTCAAATAATTAAAATTGAAAACTTATTAATAATTTATATCAATATAATTCAATAATCTCATAATCTCAACTGTACTTTATTTTCAATAAATCTATTTTATTATTTTTTGCTTGGCTTTTCCTACCATTTGCATCGTCATTGCAATGAAATGAATTAGTTTAAAATAAATTAAAAATTATAAATTGCCTCTTTGCGCTTTTAAAAAAAGCATTGATTTTATTTAACATTGTTATTATTAAAACAATTTTTTATTCTTCAAACCATACCCCTTCAAGCCTTAACTTTTTTTTGGATTTATAAAGTTTGGTCATGAAGAATGGTTTCAGGATTATTAAAGCGAAAAAAAAAAAAAGAGAAAAATTACTTATTTCTGTTAGCAAATTTTAACTATTTGAATAATTTTTTTTTTTTTTTTAAACATCTTCACTTCCAACAAGGCTGCAAGCAACCACTATAAGAGTTGGAAGTTACTGGAAGAGAAAAGACTAAATATGTAGAGCAAGATAACGATTGACTGATGACTTAAAAGATTGCAAATTATATGAATCAGGAAAGCAAGATGAAGGAAGCGAATTCCAAAGAACTGATGTTCGAGGAAAAAAACTAGAAGAATAAGAGTTTTTGAAGCACTTAGGAACAGTCACAGAAAAAGGATGAGACTTAATTGAATGGCGAGTAACACGAGAATGAATTTTAGTAGATGGCACAAGGGACGCTAGCTCTTTAGAGCAGTGCCCATTATAGTATTTGTAAAAAAGAGAAAGAGAAGCAACATTACGACAATGTGACAAAGGTTGGAGATTGGCTGCCAAGCAGGTCCAACTATGTTTACAATTCGTTTTTGCACCTTGTCTAAAAGAGAAAGAGCATCATTAGAAGATCCGCCTCAGATGTGGCAACAGTATTCCATACAGGGCCGGATTTGAGATTTACAGAGATAGAGAATAGAATCTGGAGTAAGAAAGTGTCGAGCTCGATAAAGAGATGCAACCTTAGCAGATGCTAATTTTGCAATGGATTTGATATACGGTTTAAAAGAAAGATCAAAAGTAAGAGTTAATCCTAGAAGATGAATGGTAGATGACTCATCTAGTACATTACCATTCATAAATATAGGAAGATCTAAACTATTACGATAACGATTGGCCGAATAAAATTGAGTTTTATCTGAATTAAAGTTCACCAGCCACTGTGAGCCCATGCTGTAGCAGAAGTGAGATCCTTTTCAAGCTCAGATACCCCCTCCAAGCAATCAAAGAGTGTAGGCTTCTTATCATGACAAGAGTAAATGGTAGTGTCGTCAGCGAATAATGCCACCTTAGATGTGAGAATATCTGGAAGATCGTTAATGTAAATTAAAAAGAGTATAGGGCCAAGGATTGAACCTTGAGGAACCCCTGAAGTTACAGGATGTGAAGAAGAGTGTTGTCCATCGAGGACAACTTTTATACCACGATTGGAAAGAAAGGACTCAATAATCTTAAAGATGTTACCAGCTACACCATAAGAAGAAAGCTTATGGAGAAGACCAGCATGCCAAACTTTATCAAAAGCTTTAGAAATGTCAAGTGTGATAGCCTTAACCTCTCCACCTCTATCTAATGCACGGTAAAACCTATCGGTTATTACTGTTAGCACATCAGCTGTAGAACGAGAAGACCGAAATCCATATTGATGATCAGAAAGTAAGTTATTTGATTCAAGATGAGAGATTAAGTGTTTGTTGATTAAAGATTCAAAAACCTTGCAGGAAGAAGACTAATGGGACGGTAGTTAGATGAATCAAATCGCTCTCCGGAATTTTTGAAAATAGGGATAACAGATGCTGAATAAAGATTCAAAAACCTTGACAGGAAGAAGACTAATGGGACGGTAGTTAGATGAATCAGATCGCTCTCCGGAATTTTTGAAAATAGGGATAACAGATGCTGCTTTCCAGCATGATGGAAAACAAGACTCTGATAAGCACTTGTTAAATAGTTTAGAAAGTATGGATGAAAGCTCCGGAGAACACCTCTGCAAGACTACAACAGGAATGTTGTCAGGACCACAAGCTGTTGAAGAGTCTAAGCAGGAAATTACTTTAGATACAGAAGCTGAAGTGATGCGAATGTCAAGCAAGGGATCAACCTGTTTGACGGCTATGTCAGGTAAAACACAACTAGTGGAATCAAGAGATGATATTGATGAAAAGTTCTTAGCAAACAAGGTGTAGGTGAGGTGACAAAGTCTGAACCATACAAGAGAGAAGGAATAACAGATTTGCCCTTATTATTGATACTGTTAAAGATTCTCCAGAAGTCTCGAGAGCCTAATTTTTGTGATGAGACACGAGATTTAATGACCTGGGAATAGCGAGCTTTGGCGTCAGACAAAACCTTTTTACAATGGTTTCTGGCGATAGTGAACAGATGTCTGTTTTCTGGAGAATTGTTTTGCTGATAGATATGGAAGTAACGGTTTCGATTAGAAATTGCTGCAGCGCAATGTGAGGAAAACCAAGGAGAAGAGTGAGGCTTGACCTGGAATCATCGAGAGGGAATAAAAAATTCCATGGCAGCCTGAATCCACGAAGTTATGTAAGAAGCACATTTGTCAGCAGGAAGACGAAAGATTTCTACCCAAGGGCCATCACGAAGAAAATCACGGAAAGAGTCCCAGTCAGCTTTAAGGTAGTTGTATGTGGTACGATGATAGGGGGATTCTGATGAAGTAGAAGAATTTGATAATAGTTTTAGAGAGATCAAACCGTGATCAGAAGTACCTAAGGGTGAATGTGGAGAAATTGAGCACTGACTAGGATCCAAAACAAGACATAAGTCGAGTAGAGAAGGTAAATGATTAGGGTTGTCTGGAAAACGAGTTGGAAAGTTGACTATTTGAGTTAGAGATTGAGAAAGGCAAAAGTTGAGGGCCTTAACGCCAGCAGACTCACTGACACTAGAGCCAAGCCAATCGGTGTGATGGGCATTAAAGTCACCAACAACGACGATATTGGCCGATGGATAAAGAGAGAGGGCTTGGTCAATTTGATCAGAAATAACATCAAGAATAGTGCAATCTTGGGATGAAGGAGAGCGATATAGAACAAAGAGAAAGGCGATAGAGTGAAGTTGTGCTAAACGAAAGCACATAAATGAATAGTCTGTAGACTCAAACCTAGTTTCACAACAAATGGGTGAGTTCTTACGAATGTAGATGCCCAGGCCAAGCATGTGATTATTGGAGTCTTTACGAATTAAAGGAAGATAACCATCAACACTAAGATCACAAGATGGGACAGCCGAACTCAAATTAGTCTCACAAGTAGGTCTGGTGAACTTTGCAAGAGATAAGACTCAACAGAAGAAAAGTTACTTCGAAGACCACGAATATTAGTAAATGATAGGTTTAGAGAACTTGGTGATGACGATGGTTTTTTGTGTTTTTTAGTTTTAGGTACTTTAGTCATTTTGAATTTATAAAGAACTTGACTCAAGTATAGATAGTACTCAGTACACTATTTAACAACTAAGCAATAGCCTCATTACTATTAATAAACCCTAAGCCGTAACAAAGGGCTCCAAATGTGGCCTCTGCAATGCACACCAAAAGTACAAACAGGGACACCATCCATGCGCAACATGGCACTGTTAGTACTCTGATATTTTTCGGCTGTTGATGGAATCAGCCTCTCTGAGAGCTACCACAGAGTTCGGGAAACCTGACTACCAGCCGGCCTCAGAACCATAAAACTGAGTTTTAGAGCTGTACCCTCATTAGGAGATAATAGAATGAGTTGCCCAGTCATAAAAATAGAGACACAAGCAATACCCACGCATTGAGTCAAGAAGATCCAGCGTTCAACATCCTAAACTGGAAACAATGTATTAAAAATACATCTGCGCCAGCCTAATAGATGAGGAAGGGGTGCGAGGCTGGTCAACAGATAGAATCTGTTTACCCCTTAAGTCTTTGCCTAGGAGGCCTTCTACAAGACAGCAGCTGGATGCATGTAACATCTGCCCAAGATGAGTATTTTTATTGAGACACCATCTCTAGCCTTTATTCAACCAAGAGCCCCAAGGCAGGGGGTGTTTTAATTCGGAGTTAACTTCTCCTAGCCTTTGCCTAAAAAAGCGTATCCTACAAGGCAGCAGGACATGAAGCAGGTTGTACTGGGTTACATGTTACCAGTAGCAGGAAAACCTGACCTGACACATGATGAGGCATCAAACACAGTCCATTTCCATGAAAGCCAAACAAAAGAATTTAAAGTGAACATTTTCAATGTTAGTTTAAATGATCTTATCAAGCAGATTGATTCAAGATTTGGAACAAGCAGGGTGGTTGGCAATATTTTCATTCTTCAGGTTGAATAATAATAATCTTTCTGTTTAAAATAAAGCATGAGAACTTGCACAGTTTCATCAGAGAGATGTAAGCAAAAAGAAGAAGTTCGCCATTTTACCAATGCCCGCAAAACACAGTTTTCAAGAAAGCAATCTAATGCATTTTCTTGATCTAATCTTTTAGAAGAAGCTTGACCGTCTTTTTCTATATATATATTTGCATCATGCCTCGAATTTTCAACACCATTTTTGTTTCGAATTTCAATTTCAATGCCTCCAATTTCAACACCAATTTTTTAATAAAAACTATTTTTTTATATATTTAAATAAACTTGAAAGTATTAAATTAGTAATATTAAATTGTTGATAAAATATTTATTTATCTATTAATTTAAATTTTAAAATTTTTTTTAAAAACAACATTTTAAAAAACAGATAAAAAACATTTTATATTATAAAAGAACAAAGTAAATTCGCTTTAACATCTTTTCGCTTTAACGACATGTTGCCAAGACTACTAACATTTTAACAAAGAAAAAAGAAAAAAATTTTGGCTGGTCGAATTGACCGCTGGCCTTTAATTCCTTATTTTCCAGGCTGATATATATATATATATATATATATATATATATATATATATATATATATATATATATATATATATATATATATTAGATTTGAAATTTTTTTTTGAATTTGATACTGCACACCCTCTTATTTGGTGAGGTTCAATAAAAAAAAGTATACATTTAAATTTTAAAATTCCATTTCTCAACATTAAAAAAAGGATATTTTAAATATTAAAAAAAGCCCAAGCCGAATAGCCCAAGTTTCTGGAGAAGATGTCAAGAATCCTGTTGGTAGATTAAGAGAGTCAAACAAATTTATTGTGTGTAACAAAGTTAGCTATAGAGTTTAAAAAAAGTATAAAATTTGGAGCAAATCTTCTCTTGTCACCTGGTTATGGTTTTTTTTAAAGTCATTTACGTTTTCCACTTTTTCTTCAACAGAAGATTTATCACTAAATAATGGTAGAACTGTTAGATATTCACTTAACCCTTTATGAACTGACGGGACTTATTAGTCCTACTGCATTAAATTCTGTCTTTCTTTTAAACAGGTTGTTTTATTGCTATAAAAACATTGTATAACTTTACACTTGGTTTTAAGTCATGTTTTAAAATTTTATTTAAATGTAGATGGTGTTTAAAGAAATTAAGCGTACTTATTTTGTAAAAGCAAACTTATTGTATTTATCTTTACATACTTTTATTTGTGTTGGGAATGTTTTTAGAGCTTCTTTAATGTGTAACTATTTTAGAGCTTTTTTAATGTGTATACTTGAATTTTAGTTTAAGTGTTAAAAAGCTTTGCATACACTACTTTGTTATGAAAATTAAAGTGGGACTAATAAGTCCCATCAGGCATAATATTTTTAAAGCCATACATCTTTTTTGATTACAGTAGTAAAGTGTAAACAACTAAAGTTATAATCAAATATGATTCGTAAGATTCGATACAGTGCTATAGAAGCTGCTGAAATAATTTTAAAAGATCTTCCTTTTGGTGATATCAGTAGAACTGAATCATCTGATTTTGATTCCAATATTGATTAAAATATTATTATTAATCCTATTGAAATTGTCAATTTTAATAGGAGATTCTATTTGAATTTCCTATTGAAACTAACAATTTCAATAGGCCGCAAGTCTAATTATTCAGTACCTTTGTCAATTAGAGCAGAAAATCAAAGTACTCATTGGCCTTTTTATGCAACTAATCATGGAAAATGTGAAGTTGGCTCAAAATAAAAAATTGAGTCGAGACCACATTATAAATGCACCACTCAAAATGTTTTTTATGCATAAATGAAAAAAAAATTGTTTTTTGAAATAGAATAACATTTAGATGAATTTAATTGAAATATATTTAATGACAAACATTTTTAAAAAAATTAAAATTTAAAAAAAAGCTTTTATTTCCTGACAGGCATATTAGTCCCACTTCAGTTTCCATGGTAACAATTGCCCTAATTTATTGAAAAAATGTGTATTGACTATTACTGGACCTTAATTAGTATATTTCAATTGCATATTTTATTAAACACTAGCGCTTTCCACCCTCCAACCATAAAGGACTAAATATCATAACTGAAGTTTAATTTTATTTTTATTAAACACTTGTGCTTTTGTTGGTGTTGTTTCCACCCTGCGACCTTAAAGGGCTAAATACCATAATTAAATTTTAACTTTATGTTTAGCAACAGTTGCAATTTTGCAATTTGAAAATATTTCGCGATTAACTTTAAAAGAAGGAGATCATTTTTTGAAGCTTCTGTTATAAGAGGAGCTGAAAACCAGAAACACATACACTGTGGTTATGAAGAGACATAATCTTCTGAAAATCCCAATTTCTGTCTCTGTGACATTTAACTGATAAAAAAAATCGAAAATTTTTTAACAGCAAATATCTTTAGCCATCTATATTACACGAAGGTAAGCCCCAGGAATGCAAACAGTTGTTGAACCATCATCTTCTCATAAGAGGAGAAGTGCTAGTCTTCCAAATTTTTATAATCATCACAAGGTTGAGTGCCCTCAAGAATTCTTTTAATTTCTTCACCACATAGGGTTTTCAAGATGCTAGCCACTCTTTTTCAAGCTTTGTAAGGAATCCAGTTCAATTTTTCAAATGGTTTAAACTGTAATTTTTCTATTAGCTCCCACTGGGACTTCAAAACTTCAATTTTGTTATTTATAATATACTATATATAATTTTGTTATATTATTATAATATACTATATTATATTAGCCTTGAACCAGAAAATCATAACTTCATCTACAACTGTGTTGCAAGGTATTGAAATTGTTGACTTTTAGACTATCACTTCAAAAAAAAATAGTCATTGAAAATTGGACCTCAAGATCATAGGCAAGAAGTCATATATAAATATAAATGCAAGAAGATTATCTTTTGAATAAAGTTAACTTCATATCAATTTAAAAAACCATCTTTGTCTTATTCTATTTCAAAACCCCTAAAAAAAACACCCTATATATATAGGGGAAGTAGGGGCATAATCGCATATGCAGGCACAACCGTTTTTTAACATTTTCATATGAAAAATATTATCAAAGACAGCAACAAATATACCATGCAAAAAACAGTTTTTTTTGTAATGTTTGCGTAATAGTTTTTCCAAAAATTGTTTCGTTTTATAATTGTTTCAAATAACTTGATATGCGATTATTGAAATAAATTGTTGAAAAAAAACATACTGTTTTTGTTTTCATATAACATCAACCCAAATATTATGGGGTCCGGTATGCCTCCATTTCCCCTATATATACAGGGTGGCCCAAATAAAATATATGATTTAAAAATTGTCCTATAGTTAAACTACTACCTTTTGTGGCATGCTTTCTATTGTACTTAAACAAATAAACATTGCGGTTTATGAATTTGTGCTTTCAATTTGTGATTTCAAATGAAATGCTCTCAAAAGTTTTTAATAGTTTTTTTTGATAGACTGCTTTACTTAGTTGTATCTAAAGTAAATTTTAAAATATGAAGTTTTCAAAAGTACCTATCTTTAAAACTGCATATATTAAATTGCTTAAAACTCAAAATAAAATAAAAAAACACTAATTAAAGAACCTTTAAAATATCTGGATTCGGAGAATCTTTTAAATCCTTTTGTAATAGACCAATTTCTCTGTTAAACTTTTGAATTCTAAATAATAATTATAGAATATATATATAACATTTATTCTTAAACTATTGACGTAAAATGCTGAGATCTATATTTTATAAAAGAAACAAAAAAAAAAAAAAAAAAAAAAAAAAAAAAAAAAAAAAAAAAAAAACTTTTTAACAATTTTAACTTACTACAAACATTTAAATGAATACCAAGATTTATTTTATTGTAGACCTAAAAGTCAGCATAATATACGCCACAAATCTACAGACTTGATAATTTATTCAAGCGCGTTTTATTCCTAAGAATTTTAGTACATGACATCATCGATTTTTTTGTTTGTTTGCACAAGAGATTGATTATGTAAACAAACAAAAGTCTTATGTACTAAAACTCTTAGGAATAAAACGCGCTTGAATAATTTATCAAGTCTGTAGATTTGTGGCGTATATTATGCTGACTTTTAGGTCTACAGTAAAACAAAGAAGACTAAAATAAAAAGGTATTTCTTGATATTCATTTATTCTTTTGTTTTAATCAAAAAAATTTAGCCAAGACATTTTTTTTCTCATTCTCTTTAATATTAACACAACATATCTCGGAGGTTTGGGATCTCTTTAATAATAAATTACTTATATATCTAATAATATATAAACCAATAATATTTGCTGAGACATAAAAAAAGCTTGTTATTTAAGAAATCTTTTTTTACTTCCAACGTTTATGTTAAATAAACATTTATGTTAGTTAAATTTTCTTTAAAATCACTTAAAAAAAAATACTTGACTTTGATTGTTTATGATTCCAAAATCAAAATCAAAATTGAAAAAAACAATAATGATGCTATTTTAGATTTAATATGTCATTGGTATAAATCAGATATCATTTTGAACCTCCTGGCTGTAATTCTGCTTTGTCAAAAAATATTGATATGATTAAACATCAAGTTTTATCAAAACTTTTCAACTATGCAAAATGAAAATTTTCATTTTGCATAAAATTTCATTTATGCAAAAGTTTTCATAAAAATTGATGTTTAATCATATCAATATTTTTTAATAAATTGGGATTATTTTATAATTGATCTATGATCAACCACATTTTAGATGGTTCTCTAAACTTGTTGCACAAGTTTAATCATATTTTGTAACTGTAAAAAAACCCATTAAAAAGAATCATTGGAAAACTTTAGAAGTGGTTGCAACACCTCAAAACTATTTACTTAAGGCAATACAAAATTTAAAAGAAGATAAAATGTGCATTTTATGTTCCTGACAAGCATCAGTCAGCATCTTAATTGGGTGCAATATTTTCCACTGAGCTCAATTCAAAACCTATTGATATGTATCAAAATTTAATTATCCATACTCCAGTATATTTACTGAGAATAATACAAAAATATGACAAAGATTTATCAATATCTTTCCAAGCTTTATTATTACTGACAAAGCTACTGTTAATAATGAGGAACTTTCTATTAACATTTTAGCATTTAATTTTATCTAATATCATTGGCTTATAAAATCAAATGTACATTTAGAATTTTAGGAATCTGGCAATATATGCTGTTTTTTTAAACCGAAATACTATTTCTATAACCTGGTAACATAAATAATTAAATACATTTGTAACTTAGTAACAAAAGAAAATAATAGCATTTGTCCCATGGTAACATAAGCAATTAATAGCTTTTCTAATCTGACAACATAAGCAATAAAAGCTTTTGTAATCAGGGAAGTAAGCTGTACCTTTTGATTATGATGATAACAAAATTAAAAAAAAAATAAAAAGGATAAATGTTTCTTCAATGTTTTAATTTTTCTTTGAACTTTAATACAAAAAAAAAAAAAAAAAAAAAAAAAAAAAAAAAAAAAAAAAAAAAAAAAAAAATAGCAATAAATTAAAATTACCTTTCTTTTCGCTTTTCATGCTCCTTCTTAATATTTGATATCTCATTGTTAAAATCTTCTACCTTAAAAAAAATATAATTTTAATAATTTATTAATTATAATAATTTATTTTTATTCCATAATAATATAGTCAAGAATTCAAAGAATTCTTTGTAGTGTTAAACAATTTATAAAATCATTTAATTTGCTTTTTCAATTTAATTAACTGTATTAAAGATCCAATTTTAAAGAAATATCAAACTACAAAATTAATTCCAAATTAAATTTAAAATATCTGCATAAGATAACAATTTTTGATCAGGTCAAATTCAGACATATGATATAAATTCAATCCTTGCAAGGAAAATATAGGTTGTCTTTGGACAAATGGTGGATTTGACCTTGTTTGCCGAGACAACAAGTGTGTCAGGGAGGAAGAAACAATTTTGTTTCTATGGAATATTCATCATTTAAACATTTCATGTTTTTTTTAATAATTTAAACCCCTGAAAAGCAGTTCTAATTTTTATATGAAAAACTTCATAAGATAAAAAAAAACTAAAAAAGTAGAGCAAAAAAATTACTAAGTTACAAACTGATATTGTTACAAACTGATATTGTTACAAACTGATATTGTTACAAACTGATATTGTTACAAACTGATATTGTAACAAACTGATATTGTTACGAACTGATATTGTTACAAACTGATATTGTTACAAACTGATATTGTCACAAACTGATATTGTTACAAACTGATATTGTTACAAACTGGTATTGTTACAAACTGATATTGTTACAAACTGATATTGTTACAAACTGATATTGTCACAAACTGATATTGTTACAAACTGATATTGTTACAAACTGATATTGTTACAAACTGATATTGTCACAAACTGATATTGTTACAAACTGATATTGTTACAAACTGATATTGTCACAAACTGATATTGTTACAAACTGATATTGTTACAAACTGATATTGTCACAAACTGATATTGTTACAAACTGATATTGTTACAAACTGATATTGTTACAAACTGATATTGTTACAAACTGATATTGTCACAAACTGATATTGTTACAAACTGATATTGTTACAAACTGATATTGTCACAAACTGATATTGTTACAAACTGATATTGTTACAAACTGATATTGTCACAAACTGATATTGTTACAAACTGATATTGTTACAAACTGATATTGTCACAAACTGATATTGTTACAAACTGATATTGTTACAAACTGATATTGTCACAAACTGATATTGTCACAAACTAATATTGTTACAAACTGATATTGTTACAAACTGATATTGTTACAAACTGATATTGTTACAAACTGATATTGTCACAAACTGATATTGTTACAAACTGATATTGTTACAAACTGATATTGTTTCAAACTGATATTGTGTATCTCTAAAACAATGATTTGTTATTATTTAAATTAATTTTTTAATAAGTAACTTTTTTTTTTGTTAGACTATTAAGTTTTCAATATTTTTTTGCTATTTAGAGTTTATTTTATAAGTAATATTTTCCATAAAAAGTATGAAAAACTGATAAATCAAGTTCAATAGAGTAAAAGCAAACCAGACACTCCTCACAAAAAGCTAACTTTTTTAATATTGAGAATATTAGTAAAATAAAGAAAAAAAAATTAACTTAAAGTTTTTATTAAAACAAGGTTTTGTATTTTTAAAAAGTGTCGGGTTTTTGGTAAATGGTCCCCAAAAGTGAACAGTTCCAAATTATATAAAAAAAACATAGATAAATTGATAAATTCATATACATAATAATAAAACAAACAGAAAAAAGGAGAAAAAAAAAAAAATCAAAAAACATGAACATGCTGGAGCTTGAAATAAAAATAAAAAATCTATAAACTAGGTTTTTTGTGCAAAAGTTGCACAAATATTTGCATGCATTTTGGAATTGAAATTGCTTTAAGAGAGCTTTTTCAAGACTGATTTTTATGCGTCATTCATTCTAGAGAAGTTAAATTAAAAGTCAGAATTAAAGTTGAGGTTGAAGTTGGAGTTGCAGGTGGAATTGAGGTTGTTGTTTGTTGAGCAGTTTAAGGCAAAGAACTAGAGCTACATGGTGATTTGGAACTGTTGATGATGTTATTAAGGTGTTATTAAAAGTTTGATAAATTTGTAACTTTGATTTTTTGTTGTCTTTAATGGAGTAGATTAACTAGAAAACTTTTCACGTTTTCTATATTTAATATTCATTTTTTTTAACTGACGACCAATTGTCGATTAATTTACACCAAATTTAAAACTGTTAAAATTCAAATTTAAAAGTGTTAATAATTTGACTTTCTTTTCTCTAGTCCAGGATGTTGGAGGACCAGGGTGCTTTTTTTTCAGAAAAGAATTGAACAGTTTTAAGTCTTTTATCGTATACATTTATCATATATTGTACTTAAAACAAATTCTTCTTTTTTAAAACAATTTACGATTTTTTTTTTTTTATATTAGGTTTATTTACAAAAAACATTTTCAGATGCTTTCGAAAAGAAGCTTATTCAGTTGCATTTAACCTCATTTTAAATAACTGTGTTTCAAATAAAGTTTATATTTTATAGAACATTTTTGCCTATGCATAAAACCACAAAAACAAATTATTATGCTCAATTAATTAAATTCAGATTTGTCTGATAACTTCCGTATCATCCGCTAGATAGTGAAGTTGTGTAAAGCATGTTTAGTGGGCCTCCTTTAATCCAATCATCATAGAGTCAACTTTTTGATTTGTAAGCAACAAAAAGTGGAAGATAAAATCCATCTGCATTAACACAATTAAGAACAGTGTAGTTTATTTTTTCCTAATTTCCAGTTAATATTATTGGACATTTTGCACTTCTTCTGGTAAATACTTTCACATTTTCTTTGTCACCATTGAAACCAGTTTCATCACAATTCCACAAATGCATGGCTTTACTAAAACCTATTTTTGCAAATCAAAATGTTTTTTCATAATATCAAAAAAACAGGCAATATTTTGTGGTGTGCACAACCTTATTCTCAAAGATGCAATGTTTGTAGCTGTTCTTTTGCTTGGTTCTGAATGCCATCTGCCATCAACTCATAAATCCTTTGTACTGTTTGTGAACAGGCATTCTATGTTTCAACAAACACGCTTCATCATTTTCAATTAATTAGTCTCACGCTAAACTTGATCTAATCATCTACCAAAGCCCCAATCACCAAGCATCTGAAAATGGTGAAGCAAGGTAAACTCAATAAAAGGACACATTTTTGTTGTATTGCCACTACCAACTACTGAAGTCTTGTTTGATTTTTTCATCTGATAATATTGATTTGGTATGCGGTAAAATTGAGTTGTGGGACTTTAGCTCAACTCAACATTTTTTAACTTATTTTATTTTATTTCACTTTTTATTGTCTCCTCAGTGTAAGGCTTCTTGTTTGTTTTATTTTTTGATATTTTAAGTTCAGTAAATTCAATTCGATAAAAGATTTATAGAGATTTTTGAAATTAAAGAAATGATGCACTTTTGTGGTTACTTAGTGTACTTTGGCACTTCAATAGTGCTTAGTACCAAAGTACCAATTTAACAAGAAAGTGTGAAAATTTAAAAAACTTTAAAATAAAAAAATTTCAATCAGTGTGAAAAATAATAAAATAAACTAGCTGAGATTGGACCCGTAAAAATACAGGTCTTTGTAAATCTATTCCAAACCAAACTTTTCTATACTTTTTCCTTATATATCCTAGCTTTCCGGATCCGTAAAATACATGTCAATACCAATTTACATATCTATTCCTCACTGATTATTTTTATAACTATTCCTTATTTACTTTAAAATTTTTTTAGTAAAACAATTTATTTTGAAAAAAAAACTTTAAGAGCAAAAAACTTAACATGCGCACCTTTTCCGCATATGTAGAGCTTATGAAAGACTTATAATTAGATTTGTTTTTCTGCTAAATGCATTTCATTGATAGGTCAGCAGTTAAGTGCCCTGTCATCAGTGTTATTTTGGAGGGGTTAAAACCTTCTCTTAGAATAATAAATTTTGAAATTTTTTCAAACTTGCTTATATATTTATAGCAAAAAAAAAAATATATATATATATACCATAAAAAATTTCTGAATGTTAAAATAAAATTTTAAAGTTTTGTCAATTTATAGATATATAAGATAACATATAAGGTAAAATAAAAATTTCAAATTTTCTCATTTTATAGATATATAGATAAACGCGATTATTCCATATAATGCCTGCAAACTCAACATATGCTTAAGACGTTTACACTTACAGACACTTGTACGTAATGCTATACAAATGGAACTAAGAAGATCTTAGACCACTAAAACATAGTCAGAAAAAAAAAATTCATTCTTATGATTATGATTAAGAACTAAAAAATAATATTAAACGATTAATAAAACGCTAACCTTAAAGTTATGAAAAAAAGATTTTGTGCATTGACGTCAGTTTGTGACAAAATAAACCTTTATGCATCAAGTTTCCTTTTGCATTTATCTTACATTTTTAAAATTAATTTTAATGTTGCATACAAATAATGTTGCATACAAATAATGTTGCATACAAATGCATAAAAATATATAAAACTTGTACAGATAAATAATTTTCACGGATAAGAGATTTATTTATTATAATAGTAATACATAAATAGTTTTTGTCTTTATTAGAATGTATCCCATAAAAATATATTTCATATATCTTTCATAGAAAGAGTTTTAAAAAAAAAATGGAAATAAAATCTTATTTCTATGACTATCATTTTAAAAGGTCTTAGAAGCAGATGATATAATTTTAGGAGTCAGAAATTATTGAGAGAGGAGCAAATCTAACGCTGAAGTTTCAAATTTTCCACTTGGATGTGACAATATGTTTTGTGTTTTTTCAATCTTTAAATTTAAGAAATTAACAGAAACCTATTACATTTTAATTGATTATAGGGGGATTTAGAGTGTCCGGTTTAAGATAAAAACTGCAGATAATTATGGTACCATTTTTAATGGAATAAAATTTTAATAATTCAAAACAATTTTTGGAATTAGCAAAAAATTTTCAACAAAACAACTTCCTTTGTTTTTAAATTGCTTATTTAAATCTTCCATACTAAGAACCTTTTTTCATTTCTTCATTTCTACAAAATTTCTATAAAAAAGTTTAATTTTTAAGACTTTGTTTAAACTTAAATATTTTACTGAAGCATTTAATTTTTTTTTTTTTTGATATTTACTTTTTCAGTAAGTGTCTACATTTTCCCACAAGTATCCAGCTCGCGGTACTTTTACTCTATAATCCTGTTACACATGACCTAATGAGCTCATTAGGTCATGTGTAACAACTAATTTGATCAATTTGATGTAAATGATAAAGATTTAAAAGTCTGGATTTTGACTTGCTGCAATGGAATGTTTGAATTGTTGCAAAACTTGTCAACTTGTTACACAGAGTAATGAGCAATTTAAAATTATTACATTTTCTCTTTGTCCATATTTTTCGTAAGTATTTATATAATATCATAAGTATTTCATAGGGCTTTATAGATTTATTATTGTTTTAACAGTTGAAAGGTTAAACACATTCAACTTGCACAGTAACACACACAGAAATGGAATACTGCACAATAACACACTCAGTAACAGTACAGAAATAGTTCTGCACAGTGAGCATATTTACAGTTGGTGCAAGTAGAAATCAATTTTGTATACATTACAAGTTACAAACCTATATTTAAAGTTATTTAAATTGTAATAACTCTAGTTAATTTACTTTGGTATTTATTGACCCATTTATGACCTTATTTATTGGTATTTATTTATTATTTACTGTGTCAGTAATATTACTGTAATCATTGTGTCAGTCGTTTGTATTATATTTTTAATTGGTTTGTAACAAATTTAATTGTTAATTAAATTTGTTACAAATTTAATTAACAATTAAATTTGTTACAAACCAATTAAAAATATTTTCATTTCTTAATATATAAAAAATAAATAAATGTTTTTTTTACCTTCTCAGATTCCTTTTCCATTTTATCTTTAGTTTGATTAGCAATTTTTGAAATGTTTGCACAATTATCTCTCTAATAATAAAAAAATTTGAAAACAAAGTTAAAAATAAGTATAAAATAAGAAATTGAAAAACATAAACGATTAATATCTTATTAATCGTTTAATATTATTTTTTAGTTCTTTATCATAATCATATTTTTATATATGTAAAGCCTTTATACACATACATAGGAAAAATGAGGTCGACAATATATTGCCGACCTCATTTTTTCTGTGTATATGTATTAAGGCTTACAAACTGTTAGAGGTCAGCATTAGGTCAGCAAAAAAAATTTGGCACAAAGGGGTTACCATAAAACATAGAAATGAAGTCAGCAATTTTTCGCTGACCTCAAACACTTTCAGGTCGGCAGATAGGTCAGCATTGCCGAATGCCGACCTTAATTCCGAGAGTTGATATATATATATATATATATATATATATATATATATATATATCAAAATATTTTCTTTTTTGTTTTAAAACAATAACTTATGTTCAAATAAATAATAAAGATGTATCACGTAAATAAAGCTATATTGATAAAACTAACAAAACATCAAAATGTTTAAAAAGGTTTGAATCATGATTTGTTAATAAATATTTCAAATACATAGTTAACAAAGACTTTTGATATCTTCTAAAACTTTTGGTGCTCGTTTGGCACAAATGTTGGATCTTTGCGTATTTATAGGCAAAATCCCACCAAAACTTCTTTCTGAAGGAAGCCCAGAAGTTCCATCTAGATTGGCTAATATTTGGTAAACTTTAAAAATTAACCTTAGGAAATTTCTTTTTATTCCAAAAGTATTTTCCTGCGTTAATAAGATGCTTAAAAAACTGCATGTCATCTCTCATTTCAGTTTATTCCCATAAATCATATTCATTCCAAAATTCTCAAAATCCTTTAAAATTGTCTCTGACATTCTTCAATACCATTATAAAATTGTATCTTTTCAACTCAATAACTTCAAAAATTGTCTCTTCCATTCCTCAATATCACTGACTTTAGCCTAACCTCTTTTTTATTATTCTTTATCAGGACTACCTGATCTTTCACCCCAGCTATCTTTTTTCCATCAAAATGAAAACACCAATTTTTGACTTTTAGTTTTTTCCTCGATTTATCTCGTTACTTTTTACCTTCCCTGATGACTGCCATATAGATTGCTAATTGAGTTGGTGCAGGAAGATCAACATGAGCTATCTGAAGTTGTTAAAACACTGCGCCAGCTTTTTGTGTACTTAATGATGCATGACAAACCAATTTAACAACCTCAACTGTCCTTTGTTTAATTTTTAGTTTATTAATATTTATTGAAGGTTTATAATCACTGCCACCGACTCATTTCTACTTTCTTGTTTTTCTCTGTATTCATTCAGAATTGAAGTTGATGACAATAGTGAAACATTTCCTATTTTAATTTTCTTTGAAGGATGTTTTTTTTTAGGATTATCAGGCTTCATTGTAGTATATTCCACTCTACCAGTCTTTAATTGCTTTAAATAAAGATTTTTATCTTCAGAATGCAACCATAGTCCATATTTTTAATCAACTTTTTCTATTATTCTTGCCACTGGTCTATTGTTGGAAAATTCAAATTAGCCCATAGTTCTTAACATCCATGTAAAACTTTCTTTATTAGTCTTTTAGCATTTTTACAATCTGATGCCAAGTTGGTGTATCGCTTAATTATTTGCCAATTCGTAGGCATTTTACATATTACTCCTAAAGATTCACTCTTACATAATCTTTTGCTTTTGCAAGAATAAATCTGAGATTTACTATTACAAAATCTTTTACTTTTCTTTTTTGTGTTAAATTCCTTTTCTTTTTGAAAGAAAGTTGCAATTAAAAAGAGCTAACAGATAGAATTACCATTTTTGTTAAAAAAAACTCTAACTTGTTTATAACATGAAAAGATAATCTTTAAATTTCTTAAGAAAAAGTAAAAAAATTTTTTTTTGCAGGTGATTCAGATACTAATTTTTTATTAAATAAAATAACTGTCTGTTGTATTTTGTTTACCACAATTTTATTAATTACCAATTTTATCTCTTAAAGAAAAAATTACATCGTTTAGATGTTTTCATAATTGCTATATTTATTATTTGGACTTAAAGTAAAATGGTTTCTAGTTACATTTATTTCAAGCTCATTTCAATCAAAAATATTGAATTTAAAGTAAAATGGTAAATATTTCTAGTTAGTTTTCTATATTTCTAGTATTTCTTATATTTCTAGTTAAAATTTTCTAGTTATAATTTTAAAATCATTTCAATTTAAAAAATTCAAAGATTTATTAACATTTAATACTATTTAATTTTTTTTTCTTATTATTCTGCAAAAAAAAAAAAAAAAAAAAAAAAAATACTCATTATTTTTTATCATTCGCTCATTGAGTAATACAATCACTTTTTTTTACTGCCATTTAAAGATTTTTATGGTTTAAAAACTATTTTTATTTCAATAATCATAAACATTTAGTTGCTAACTAAATAATTTCAACCTTATATTTTTTAAGTTGTTTAAATTTAAACAACTCCACACTGGGGTGCAAGATTCTAAGATTGGATGCACATAGACCTACAAGGTCTATGTGCGTCCAATCTTAGAATCTTGCACCCCAGTGTGGAGTCCTTAACTTCTTAAAGATATACGTTGCATCGAAAATGTCCAAAGATACTTCAGCATAATTACCTGTAAAAGATGCCATATTTTTTACACTGATTACGCATCGAGACTATCTGTTTTAAAACTCGATTCTCTTGAACACCGCAGAGCTAAATTCGATCTTTTTATGAACTACAAAATTATAAACAATCTTGTCGACCTTCCTTTTTCCCATTTATTTACACTTTCCAATTCTCATTACCCATTGTTTTTTCAGTGAAAGAATTGTAAAAATATGGAATTCATTGCCTGCTCACATTGTCGATTCATCTTCATTATTTGTATTCAAAAAAAACCTACAAACTTACGACTTACAACAAAGTTGAAAAGTATTAAATTGCCTTTGTTCAGGTGTTACATAAGCGTAATCTTGTGATTACCTGTCTCACCCTTTTGTATTTTAATGTATTTTTTTTAATGCAAATAAATATTATTATTATTATTATTATTATTAAGATTGCCTTACAATTCTTGCCAATCAAATTTTAATTGATTTAATTGAATTATTTATTGCGTAACCAAAACATCATTTTTTTTCAAAATGAGACAAACATTGATTGGCCATTATTTCCAGCCATTATTTCCATATATATATATATATATATATATATATATATATATATATATATATATATATATATATATATATATATATATATATATATATATATATATATATATATATATATATATATATATATATATATATATATATATATAATGAATTATCAAAAAAAAAATATTTTAATATTAAATACTTTTTTAAAAATAATAAAATAATAAAAATGTTTATTTTTACCACTCTCTAAGTTTTGAGGTATCATATTGGTTTTCAAGAAGTTAGAATATCCAAACCATTTTACTTATCTATCTAACAATGCATGTCTAACCCAATAAAAAATGGAATTAATACTAGCAGAGACAATGCAGTCAATACTATCAGAGTGACCTCAGACTATTAGTGACCTTAGACTGCTATTTATAAAAAAAATTTTTGTGAATAAAAAATTTTCTTATAAATGCGGTAGTGGTGTAGTGGTAGAGCGCTCGCTTCATAAACGAGTGGTTCCGAGTTCGATCCCCACCACGTCCCTGGTAGTACCGCGCTCAACTTGTTTCTCCGCGCAGCGGCCTTGTTCGTCAAGGTTCGTGTTTCGGAGTTATAGAGTTGAGAGAGGGTTATAGCCACAAATAAGTAGCCTCCTCGTCTGTAGTGGCCTTCTCGGCCTTGAGGAGGTGAATTTAAAAAAAAAAAAAAAAAAAAAAAAAAAAAAAAAAAAAATTATATGGTAAGATCACTGGGATAAGTCAGAATAGAATGTTATGCATAATAAATTTATTTTGAGTGTATTGAGTTTTTTTAAATAGTGTATTGAATTTTGTTAAATAAGTTCAGTGGATTTGTTGGATAAGTTCAGTAAGTGAACTATTTATGCTAAACTTTTTTTAACAATTGATTTTTTTAACTAATGATTTTAGCAAATGAACTAATTGCACCAAACTTGTAATGATAAAGTGAAAAATGTATAAAACATTAGATGGTAAAAAAGGTCACAAAATTTATTTTGCTGTGGCAACTTTTATTAAATGATAAGTTGCTATGACAACTTTACACATCAGTAATAGTCAATAGTGGTAAAATAAAAAAGCAGGAAAAAAATGTTCATAAAATGGGTCATAATTTCAAGTGGCATATAATCTAGCTTAGTCTGTTTAAAATTTTTATTTGGGAGACTCATAAAGTTGGTGGTCATAAAAATTGTCATTTATGTAGAAATATACTTTTCATGTACCAAATATTATGACATGGACCAGTTGATGTAGAAAAACCTCAAAAACATACTGATCTAACCAAAACCTCAAAAATACACTTGTTTATACAATAATAAAATTATAATAAATGTAAATACACATATAGCCTTCAGAATTAGGGTCGGCTTGGGCAATGGCGACCTCCATTCTATGTTTTATGGTCAAACCTTTGATTCATATTTTTTCTGCCGACCTCACACAGAATAAAGTTAGCAAATTATTGCCGACCTTATTTTTCCTAATTCCAAGGGCTGCACATAAATGACATAGCCTCGAAAACACACCTAAAATGTTAAATAACTCCAACAATTAGTTACAAATGTTAGATAAATGTAACAAATGTAATTTAAACTTTATATAATAAACTTTTAAAATTAAATTATTTTTTTTACCAATTCCTTGTCTTTCTTTTCAAGTTGATCCAAACTGTTTCTGTGTCTCATAAGTTCTTTCTCTATAGGTGCATTTTTTTCTCTGCATTCTTTTAAATTAACTTCAATATCTTTTTTATCTTTTTTAATATCGAAGAATGATAACCTAGCAGATTCATATTCCTATATAACATAAACAAATAAAAAACATATAAAAAATAGATAATAAACCAAACAAAATACAAAATAAAACAAATAAAAATAAACAGTAAATATTAATTAAAAAAATTTACATACTGATAATTATTCTAAAATTACTTATTCAAGAAGCATTTATATTAGATATTTTTAATAAAACATGATTAAAACATGTCTCAAATAAAGGTTATTTTTTTGTTTTTTTTAAATGGTTGAATGGTTTTAATATTTTTTATATGGTTTTCATGTTTCGCCATTTTTTTGATTTTCTACTAAATTATGCAATTGAATAAACATTGCGCTTTAAAGAATACTAAAAGCACAAAATTAAATTATGCAATTAAAACCTACTTAGTCATTTCAAATGTATACTTTGATTAAAATATGGATGCTACTTTGATCAGTTATATGTCTGAAGTTATATGAGAAACAATTTGTTGCAGAAAATAATAATAGATTTTCTCTAAACATTTACAATGAATAATTTAAATACTAATCAATTTTTTTTTTTTTTTTAATTTGCATTCACTCCCAACAAGGCTGCAAGCAACCACTATTAAGTTGGAAGTTACTAGGAAAAAAAAAGAACAGAGTTATAGAGCAAGGAAACGGTTGACAGAAGACTTAAAAAGTTGAAGGTTGTATGAGTCAGGAAAACATGAAGATGGGAGAGAGTTCCAAAGAATTGAAGTGCGGGGAAAAAAACTAGATGAATAAAAGTTTTTAGAGCATGCAGGGACAGATACAGAAAACGAATGAGACTTAGCTGAATGACGAGTAAAACGAGAATGAATTTTAGTTGATGGAACTAGAGATGATAACTCCTTTGAGCAGTGACCATGATAGTATCTGTAGAAAAGAGAAAGAGATGCAACTTTACGACGATGGGAAAGAGGTTCAAGCTTAGCAGATAGTCCAGGTCCAACAACATTTACAATGCGTTTTTGGACCTTGTCAAGAAGAGAGAGTGAATCGTTAGAAGAACCAGCCCAAATATGACAACAGTATTCCATACAGGGACGAATAAGAGATTTGTAGAGGTAGAGAATGGAATCAGAAGTAAGGAAATGGCGAGCACGATAAAGAGAAGCAACCTTAGCAGAAGCTAATTTAGCAATCGATTGTATATATGGTTTCCATGAAAGGTCAGTAGTAAGCGATAATCCAAGAAGACGTAAAGAGGACGACTCAGTAAGAGGATTGCCATTCATTAATATAGGAATGTTGACCATATTACGGTAGTTGTTTGCAGTAAGCAATTGGGTTTTTTTAGAGTTGAAATTCACAAGCCACTGTGAACCCCAATCTATTACTGAAGTGAGATCAGATTCAAGATCAGCTGCTTGTTCTAGGCGATCGAAAAGAGAAGACTTTTTGTCAAGACAGGAGTATAAAGTTGAGTCATCAGCAAAAAGAGCTACTTTAGATGAAAGGTTGTCAGGAAGATCGTTTATGTAGATAAGAAACAAAACAGGGCCCAGGATAGAACCTTGGGGAACCCCAGAAGTTACTGGAAATAAAGAAGAGTGTTGGCTTTCAAGGATGACTTTAATAAACCGGTTAGAAAGAAATGATTTGATAATCTCAAAAACTTTCCCAGAAACACCATATGAAGCAAGCTTATGGAGAAGACCAGCATGCCAAACTTTGTCGAAAGCTTTAGATATGTCGAGAGCAATAGCCCTAGCCTTATCGCCTCCATCTAATGCACGATAAAATCTTTCAGTTACAGTTACAGTTACAGTTTCAGTTACATATTCACTAATTCATTAGTGAGCTGCAATAACAAATTAAATTTCAATGTTTTTATGTTTAAATAAATAAAAAATAAGTTTTTTTTGTACACAGGCAATTTTTATCAAAATTAAAATTTAAAAATAAAATATATCTCTTATGATTAAATTTTGTTATCATACTGATTTATAATTAGTTTGATGAAAACATTTATTCTTTCTTGTCATAGCCATCCTATTTCCAGCACCTTATGGGGTACTAATGGGTTCCATTCTTTGTCCTGCTTTGTTATGCATGTAGACTTTGTAGTCAGTAATGTGTTTTACAAAAATTCAAACTCTTCAGAGGCAAAATGTATTAAAGGTGATTCAATATTAATAATAATATATGACAATAAATGATCATATTTTCGATTTTAATGATCATGATCAGTATGGCAGTATAATTATAAATTTGGACATAATGACGATTCAATCTTTCTGATGAACCTACTGATGGAGAAACAATTTGTTTTTTTTTTTAAACATCTTTGCTTCCAACAAGGCTGCAAGCAACCACTAATTAGTGTTGGAAGTTACTGGAAGAGAAAAGATGAAGATTGTCGAGCAAGATAAAGATTGACAGATGACTTAAAAGATTGCAAATTATATGAATCAGGAAAGCAAGATGAAGGAAGGGAATTCCAAAGAGCTGATGTTCGAGGAAAAAAACTGGACGAGTAAGGGTTTTTTGAGCACTTAGGAATAGTAACAGAAAAAGGATGAGACTTAATTGAATGACGAGTAATACGAGAATGAATTTTAGTAGATGGCACAAGAGACTCTAGCTCTTTAGAGCAGTGCCCATGTTGCAGAAAAAAAATAGATAAGTGTTTTTACTACCTTCACTCCCAACAAGACTGCAAGCAACCACTATTAAGTTAGGAATTTAAGTTTGAGTTTTTTAATTTACATTAACAATCTTCCAGATATTCTCACACCTAAGGTGGCATTGTTTGCTGATGATACTACCATTTATTCTTGTCACAATAAGAAGCCAACACTCTCTGGTTGCTTGGGGGAGGGGGGGCATTTGAGCTTGAAAAGGATCTCACTTCTACTACAGTATGGGGTTCACAGTAAACTTTACTTCTGATAAAACTCAATTTTTTTCAGCCAATGGCTATTGCAATAATTTAGACCTTCCTATATTTAAGAATGGTAATGTATTCTATGAGTCATCTACCCTTCATCTTACAGAATTAACTCTTACTTCTGATCTCTCTATCTCTCTTGGAAATCATATATCAAATCTATTGCAAAAAAAAAAAAAAAAAAAGTACATTTATATTTTATCTAAAACTTTTCTTATAACTATTTATATTATTATGCATATATTTGTTATATTATTATGCATATATTTATATTTGTTTTCTATATTACTTGTATTTATTATTTTATATATAAAAATATAATTAAAACGAAGAAAAAAATACTCATATTTTATTTACTTACAACCCATGGCTTTTTCTTTTGTAGCATGTTAATTTGTTCTTGGTGTTTTTCTCTTTCTTTATGGCGTAGAACATCTCGCTCAAGCTGTTTATTTCTTTGTTCAACTCTTGCTTTAGCTGTTTCTTTTTCAGACAAATTTGCCTTAAAAAATAAAAACACGACTTAATAAATTGTAAAAAAACTTTGTTCACTAAAGTGTTAATTCAGATGCTTAAGAACACAATTATAACTATGTAAAATAGTGTGATCAATATAACACAGCATATGTACAGTATATGTAAATAAACTGTGACTAAATAAATGGACTTTTTAACACAAACATTATTTTCTACTATATTGGAACTATTATCAATTAGTCAATTGATGCAGACAGACAGAAACATTTGTAATACAATTAAATTATTAAGTTAAAAATATTAAATTAAACTAGACTTTTTCTGATACCAATTTTTATTTTGTTACTAAAAGCACACAACGCAAAACTCAATATGAGATGATAAATAATGTTTCTTGTTTTAGAAACATTTTCAAATTACGTTGTAAAGTTACATACAAAATAAATTTAAAAAATAGAAAATCAAATGGAAAAAAATTAAATTAGCGCTGTTAACTTTAAGGTATACTTCATTTCAAGTCTTCAAACTCTGACAAAACTTTGCAATCAAACTAATACACATATGTTATAAACAAGGTGTTAATTATTTAAACACTTCAGAGTGCACTTCTCATAAAATCTTCTCAAAATCAGACTAAAAATCAAAAATAAGTTTTTGATATAGATTTTGTTTAATTAATTTTTAATCCTGCTATAGTTTTGCTATAGTTTTTTGTAGCATAATTTCAATTTTATAAATTTTTGAAAATGTTGTATTATTTTTAAAATAATTTTTAATTATTTTAAAAATAATCCCTTATCTTTATGATGACACCATATTGCATGAAAAAATCTTTATTATTGATATCATTATAATATTAAACTTGTTGCTACTCCGTTGTTTTATTTTAATTTTCAACTTTAAAACCAAAAAAAATATGAAGGCTTTGCATACTAAAAAAATGATTCCTGTCATAGTCTGAAAGATTTGCATACTAAAAAAAAAATATGAAAGCCATGCATAAGTACATACTAAAAAAAATCATATGACTATTAGAGTTAAAATGTGTCTTAAAATAAAAATTCAGTATAAAAAAATTCAAAATAAAATAAAATGTTCTTAGTTCCATAGCTTTCAACAGAAAAAGCAAAAAACTACATTCATAATATTATTATAATATTATGAATATAATATTGAAAACTTAATCTATAACAGTTAAGTCATAATAATCATGATCTTCTTATTTTTATGTTGATATAAGAAAATCAATGTAAAAAGGTCAAATACTAAGCTGTCTTGTTCTCAGTTTACTAGTATCCTATCTCAGAAGTTAGGTTCTAGAGACTTTTAGAAAATACTCAACAGTTAACATTAACAAAGGTTAGTCAAAGTCAAGTTCCTAACTTATGGGTTTGATCTTATTACCTTTTCCAAGGATAAGGCATAACTATTTGCAAAGAACTTTTTATCTAATTCGACTTTTGAATCTAATGGTTTTACTTTATTTTGATCTAAATTGACTCTCAAATCTAATGGTTATATTAATTAAGACCATAGTCTTCGGCCTATTCCAGTTAAACAGGTTAAGCCATTGTTAGATATCCAAATCACTCCTGCTTCTGATACTAATGCCATTTCTCAATTAAACTCTTTACATCTTGTAGTTCAGAAAATATTCCTGTCATAGTCTTACAACAATGTTAACCAGAAGTCTTTTTAATTTGCTCTAAGCTATTTAATAAAGAATGGCCGAAGGAATCAAACCTGATTTCTCAACAAATAAGTGAATTGATGCATAAGCATGCCCAAGCCCAGGATGTGACTGTTACATAGATGAGTTTTTGACTTTATGAAAATCCTGGAAAATTATTTTAATAATAAATTTGAAGAATCCCAGAAAATTATAAGGTAAGTGTGTAAATTCTGAAACCCTAGTAAAGGGATAAATAAAGTAATTAAACACTACTGAATAATTATGTTTCTCTAAAATTCTCTAAAATTAAATATTGTATCTCAGTTTTACCTTAGACAATATGCAAAGCGTTACAATTTGTTTTTTTTTAAATATAACATGTCAGACAATGGTTCAGAAATTATTACTTTTTATTCTTATAAATTTCTGCTGCAAAACATTTGTCTTTTTTTTTTTTTGCACTTTTTTTCATGATCAATAATAGATTCTTTAACTGTTTGGTACCATTCATGTGAGACAATCTTTTTTTTCTGTGTTGAATTTATATTATAAAAACGCTTATCAACTTTTCTGTTTTTTTTTTTATGGAATTCCATTTTTTTAAATTTTTTAAACTTTTGTGAACTTTTAAAACAGAATTTAATTAAACTTTTTACAAAAAATATTTCTAATATTTGAAAAAGTTAAAAAAAACAGATGAACTCAAATTCATTTATTATCACAAAAAGCAAAAAATTCTGATGAATTTTGAAAGTGGTAAGTGATTTAACTGGTAAAAATTTTGACACCTGGTGATGTTGTAACATGTGGTGATTAGGTTTTATTTTAATGCCATTTTTATTTGACATTTTTTTTTTTTGGATTATCCACAGTAAGTTTAATAATAAATTTTGGATTATCCACAATAAGTTTTATTGATAGAGTCCCTGAAATCTAAAAATAAACTGTTCAAAGTTTTAATATAATTTACATGTAAGCAAGTCTTTCCCCTAATTAAAATGTGTAAGCGAGTCTCTCCCCTGAAAGTTGCAGAATAAGAGTATTGCAATTCTAAAGAATGACCATATATGGCTTTATTTGTAAAATCTGTAAGTAAACAGATGTGAACTTTCCTGTTAAATGCAGTTCTAGTGAACTTCCTTCTTTTTGGAGTACCCTTATAATCAGATAAATACATATTTCTATATTTTAATACAAATAAAAGAATTTTGCAGAAACACTTCTTGAAACACCCTTATAATCAGATAAATACATAATTCTATATTTTAATGCAAATAAAACAATTTTGCAAAAACACCTTGGGAACCTTTTCAAAAACTTTGTTAATAATGTGTATATGTTTATATATATATTTTTTTAAATTTCTATACTTTTACAAAATAACATTGAATGGAGAACATGACAGTAAAATTAGTGTAACAAACCTGTATTTTACGAAATTCAGAACTGAGATTAATGAGCTCCATATGTTTTTCATGCATACCAGGTTCGCCAACCTTTTGAAAACAAGTTTTTGAAAAGTAAGTAAATTATTAATTCAGATCTAATAAAATAAAAAATAGTTTATTAAACTTTTTTTACCGCTTTCTCTGTTGCTTCCAAAAGTTGTTGAGGTGTCATCTTTGCAAACTCATTCACCTTATCCTAAAAATTATTGAAAGTGAACCTAATATAACTTATAAAATCTATAAAATAAATATTTTTAAATTTCCAATTAATTTTTATTTTTTGTTTAAAAAAATAAAATGCAAGAAAACCTGTGGCAAAAACTGACATAAGTTGTTCATTTGTACATTCAAGTCAGCAGCTGCTGAAACAACCTGTAGTTTGTAAATCAAGTTTTATATACAAATAATATAACATTCTATACTAATAGTTTTTTATTTAAAGTATATATGGACAAAAAACATGATATAAGCATATAGTGAACTCTTGATATCTCAAACCTCCAAGGGACTGAGAAAATAGTTCAAGTTATCAGGACATTCTATAATAAAAACTTTTGCTGATAAGTAAAAACAATTATCAAAAGACTTAATATCAAAGGTAAAAATACTACATTCTAAATTTAAAAATGTTGTGTTACTCTGCATTAGTTTTGAAGAAATATAACTGAGCTTTTGTTGAAAATCTTCATCACTAAGACTGAATGGCAAATAGTCATACAAAACTTGCAGTGCTTTGCGAATATCAGTAACTTTAGGGCAAACTGGATTGATTTTATTATCATAGTCATTATCTTCCTTGCAATCAGCATCATGTTTATTCACTGCATTTTTTACTTCTTCTATTAATTGTTCATCTTTTAGTAAAGGTACTGTGCTCATTAATTTTTCATCTGCAGATATGGCATCTTCATCTTTTTTATTGAAGGGTAAAAATTATCAAGCTTTTTTATCTGATTTTGAAGCTCTTTAAATGGGTAATCGACTTCAGTTCGTTTAGGCAGATTTATGTTGATCTTCCGAAATTTCTGATTTTTAAAAACAATTAACGATGGTGAAGGGTTCATATTTTGCCATGCAAAAAGCATTTTCATTGCATTTAAAATCAAAAAATTGAAAGATCTTTTTTTTATCATAGCTACGACCAGTCTTTGTAAGGCCAAAGATTTGTTATAAACTTTCAAAGAGCTGGTTTAAATTTAAACATGATATTTGGTGGTAAAAAAATGAGCAAAATAGATTTTAGATTATCAATTGTCTGGTGCACTGGGCAGTTATCTATTATAAACAATACTTTCTTTTTTCTTTTGTAAACTTTGTATCAACTTCCTGTATCCACTCTTCAAAGAGTACTCTATCCATCAAATCAATTTTTTTTTAACAATTATTTTGATTTTTCTATCTGCAAAGTAAGTGTCCAAACATTTCTCAAAAAATACAACTTTTTGAACAGTTCCCAAGCTCCTTTATGGTCATACTCTTAATCAAGTTTTTTCTAGACTTTTTAACTACAAAAAGTACATTTTGATGGTGATCTTCATCTCTAGTAGCTGAAATAAAATCTTTTATGAGTTTAATGTTTCTTCTTGCACCATCATTTACAACAGATATGTTTTTGATCCATATAATAAAATCTAGCAATTGAGGATGGTTAAAAAAATCTATAGTATTAAGACTATTATTGAGTCATTCCTTTATACTTGCTCTTGATATTTTAAAACATTTGAAGAGAAGGTAGCTTTGCTCAAAAATCAGCTCAGGTAGCTCTGTGGTCATTCCAATTTGTACATTTAACATTACAACACTGAAACTCATTTGGCTCTTTAAACTCAATCAGAGCTAACAGCTTTCTTAGGATTGTTTCAGAAGGAACTTCTTTATCCCTAAAGGACAAAACACAGAGTTGCAGAGTTAAGTACCATGTATGGTGTCCCATGCTGAGAATCAAAGCATTTCCAATATTCTTACTGACTTTTCTCAATGCATAGGATGTCTGGATAGCTTTCGAATAATTGTAGGGAGCCAGAAATCCTAAAAAACTTTTTAAAAACCATGGAACATTGCAAATTGCAATAAACAAACTTGCATCCTTCAACAGCAGCACTTCATTTTCTGTCAAGATATTACTGATATTTTTGATCATATAAGGATGTAGATTGCATCTGCTAAAGACCTTGCCTCATGGCAGGCACCAGATTGATGGAACTTAAAATCTTATACTTCCATTCCAAGGAAGATGGGGGCAAGCTTACAAACAATACCATAATTATTCCTTGAAAACATCATATCAGTAGTTGCATTAGTCAAAAATGTTTTAGCTTCCTCTGCAACAGTGTGAAGAACAGAACCAATCTTCAGATCAATTCTTTGCCAGTCCAATTTACATAAATTTTTCACTTCATTAACTCTTTCACATATTTCAGGCCACTTGTTCTTTAGCTTGACATAAAGTGTTCTTTTTGAACCTTTAGTTTTGTCACCAATAGCAGCAATATAGTGAGATACATGTACTTCATATATGTCTCCTACACATTATCCACAACATTAGTAATTTCAAAATATCTTTAAGAATTTGGACTCCTCCATTGAATCTGGCTGTATTGCTTGCAGTTGTATCACAGCATATACCAAAGATCTGCTCTTTACATCCATAATATTTTAAAAGATTGTGCACTTGTTCTGCTTGGTCAACTTCCTTTGAAGAGGGACATTGAACAAGATTTAAAAGATGGTCTTCCACGGTATCCTCAGCTGGGAAGCTCACTGAGACTGCAAGTTGCTCAATTTTTTGAATAATGTTAAGCCCAGCAATAATTTGTTCCAACAGTTTGGTACCAAAATGAAGAACAAGCCGAAGAAATCCACTCCAAGCCTCCTTCAAGTTCTACATATTTGAACTTTTTTCTATAAAGCTTCGTAAAAGCCGTATATCATCAATTTCTATACCTCTAGCTTTGAATACTTCACTTAAAATTGCTAGATGAGGTCTTACACCAACATTGAATCTTGTTGCTGGAATAGCAGTACATTCAATGAGCTTTTCAACATTCACTGCTAAATTTATCCTATCTCTAGAATTGTACCTAGGTAACATTTTATAATATTTTTCTACTTATTTATAATTATATACTTTTCAATAAAACAGCTTTAGTTTGTAAAAATTACAACTATGTTATTAAAATATTACTATAATAACGTTTCCGACTGTTACCCTTGGAAATCTTTTTCCATTGAGTCATGTGACAACAAAACATCAATGATATCTTTTAAGTTTTTTTGGTCTCTCTAATTCTTTATCTTTTAACTTATCTAGCTTGTTATTTCTCTTATCCAGTACTCTCTTACTGTAGTCTCCATTGACTTTTGTTCTCATATATCCTTTCCTATCCAACTTCTGGTCTTCATAAAACTAAAAAATATTCAAATCTGTTAAGGCATTTATAAATAAATTAACAATTGTTCTAGATTTTCTTGGAAGATAACCAAACTATGGAAAGAGTTAAACGTAAATATTTGAAAGGAAGTAATATGCTATTACTTAAGTTACTTTATATCAGAAAGAAAATCTCAATACTCAAAAAAGTGTTATTTATTGAACTTACTTTATATCTTCCAGCTTGGCATCATCTGTTCTCAATCTATCAGCAAGAATATCTTTTTTCAAAATTCTCAGTCGAGATGTCAAAAAGTTGATAGGATTCTGTGAGAAAATCTTTCTTTAACTTTAATTGCTTATCAAGACTGCTGTCCCAATTTAAAGAAGACAACTTACTCAATTTCTTGTACTTTAAATTAAGTTTAATAATTTTGGTCTTTATATTGTACCCAGAAATTACAAAATTCTTGCCAAATCTAGCATTATCCCAAATTTTTTTAATTCTAGTTACCAAGCAAGAATTATCAGAACCTGTACAAACACCATTATCACAAACAAGATCCTTGGATTTCGATTTCAATTTAAAACCAACATAAGTAAAAGTGGGTTTGTATTTAACCTGTGACTCGCGAAGGATAAATTGATAGAATCTTAGAATATCACCATTAGATGGAAGCTGTCTCAGAGGTAAATCCCTCATTGGGTACTTCAATAGGTAAATATACCTAAACCTCTCTGTTTTTTTCTATTTTTTCTTATTCTGTCCTATTATCATATTTTTTTTTAGCTGTTCTACCCATTTTTCATAAGAATTTTGAAATAATCATTCTTTTAACTAGATTGAAAATATATTTTACACTTGCATCAAAAATCTATGAAGTCATTATTTCCTCTCATATCATATTGTATCTAAGTTTACAGTAACAGCTTTTATAATCGTTTACATGAGAATTCCTTTGTACACAAATAATTCCATTTAGAAATTTTTTCCTTTAAAAAATATTTCTAAATGAAATTATTTGTAAACCAATCCATGGGGAATTATACAAATTAACAGAATTATATCAATCGCTAACATGTCCAAAGAGAATCGCTAACTTCTTCATAGGGAATGATGATCTTTAATAACCTTATGATGATCTTTAATAATGTCCTATGGGAATTATTTGTGTACCAATTATTACATCATATTAAAACATATTGAAATACTAGATAGCGCTGTTTTTAAGTAAATACACGTGTACAAAATCGTCAAACTCAGAATTTACATCTATCACTTCTAGTCATTAAAAAATTTAAAAAAGATTTTGGTAGTTATTTAGGACCTATAGAATGGGAATCAGTTGAGAGCACATTAAAGTTTTAAAAAAAGTGTTTTTTTTTTAAACATCTTTGCTTCCAACAAGGCTGCAAGCAACCACTAATTAGTGTTTGAAGTTACTGGAAGAGAAAAGATGAAGATTGTAGAGCAAGATAACGATTGACAGATGACTTAAAAAATTGCAAATTATATGATTCGGGAAGCAAGATAAAGGAAGCGAATTCCAAAGAACTGATGTTCGAGGGAAAAAACTAGACGAATAAGAGTTTTTGGGACAGCACTTAGGAACAGTCACAGAAAAAGGATTAGACTTAATGGAATGACAAGTAACATGATAATGAATTTAAGTAGATGGCGCAAGAGACGCTAGCTCTATAGATCTGCCCCAGTATGGCAACACTATTCCATACAAGGCCGAATTTGAGATTTATAGAGATAGAGAATAGAATCCAGAGTAAGAAAGTGTCAAGCTTGATAAAGAGATGCAACTTTAGCAGGTACTAACTTTGCAACGAATTTGATATATGGTTTCCAAGAAAGATCGGAAGTAAGAGTTAATCCTAGAAGATGAAGGGTAGATGACTCATAGAGTACATTACCGTTAAATATAGGAAGGTTTAAACTATTGCAATAATGATTGGCTAAAAAAAATTGAGTTTTATCTGAATTAAACTTCACCAGCCACATGAGCTCCATGCTGTAGCAGAAGTAAGATCCCTTTCAAGCTCAAATGCCTCCTCCAAGCAATCAGAGAGAGTTGGCTTCTTATCATGACAAGAATAAATGGTAGTATCACCAGCGAACAATGCCAATTTAGATGTGAGAATATCTGGAAGATCATTAATGTAAATTAAAAAAAGTATAGGGCCAAGGATTGAACCTTGAAGAACCCCTGAAATTACAGAATAAGAGCGCTGTCCATCAAGGACAACTTTTATACTACGATTGGAAAGGAAGGATTCAATAATCTTAAGGATGTTTCCAGATACACCATAAAAATAAAGCTTATGGAGAAGACAAGCATGCCAAACTTTATCAAATGCTTTAGAAATGTCAAGAGCGATGGCCTTAACCTCTCCACCTTTATCTAATGCACGATAAAACCTATCGGTTATTACTGTTAGTAAATCAGCCGTAGAACGAGAAGATTGAAATCCATATTGATGATCAGAAAGTAAGTTATTAGGTTCAAGATGAGAGATTAAGTGTTTGTTAATTGAAGATTCAAAAACCTTGCTTATGATAGGAAGAAGACTAATGGGACGGTAGTTAGCTGTACAAGAGTTAACCTCTTCATATACTGTCTTGAAAAAAATATCTGTTTTTCCAACGATCACGCCAGCCATCAGATGCTTGAAATCCTTTAATATTAATCTTTACAGCAAGTTCTTTTGCTTTTGTATTTAGAATTGATGCTGATACTGCTACATTTTTACTCCTTACATTTAAAAGCAAATTAAAAACAAGATTATCTAAATTTGAAAATGCTCTCGAATGTTTTGACTTGTTTCCTTGCGTCCTCATAGATTCAAAAATTTTTTCTTTATTTCTGATCCATGTTGACAGCGTATTTTTCAGAACGCCATATTTCATTGTAACCTGAGACTTTGATGATCCTTCTCTAATTTTCCTTAAAGCAGTGTTCTTTTCTTTGATTGATTTTGTGTTAATTTTTTTTATTTAGAGAGACAGTAGCCATTTTAAAATGTAAACACAATACACGACTTTTATTACATTATTCCAATGCACATTAAAACAACTTATACTTAAAACTATTCTAATATCAAAATCATTAATACTATTTACATGGCAATGCCTTCATCACAGTTAAAAAAAATTCTTCAAATATTGATGGGAAACCTGCACTTGAAGACAAGAAGTTTAACTGAATAAAAGAAAAATAATAACTTTTAATAAGACTTTGTTTTAGTTTTTCTTCTAAAAGTTCGAATTATTGGAAGAGTATTAACCACTGGAGCAGATAAAATGGTTTGAATAACAAAGCAAATGTTTGATCTAGCAGGGGTTCGAGTTATCAAGTGATTTTAATGAGAAAGCATTAGTAAGGGTTCAGAGGGAACTTGAAAGTACATTATGTTACTGGAAGTTCGAGTTATCTGGAATTAGAGATATCAGGAGTTCACTGTATTTTATAAAATAAAACATATATTTTAAAACATATGAACTTTTAATATGAACGGACTCAATGGTGTTTTTAATACAGGGTGTCTGCCAATATTTTAAGGTGAACTTCCCTGATACTTCGCTGATCCACTACCTGTTTTCCCTGATTGTATTTAAAGTTACTTAAAGATTGTATTTAAAGTTACTTAACTTCAGAAAATTAAACTAATTGCAAAAACATAAACATTTAATTTGATAAAATATAAAATATTTAAAAAGTACTTTCATCATCTAAAGAATGAAGCTAAATTACCACTTCAAAATTAATTTTTTTTTACCAACAACCCAAATTTAAAGTATCTGCCAAAAAAACTTTATGTTAAGTGTAGGATATACAACTCACTTCAGTTACCTAAATTTAATGAAAACCCATTTTCCCAGATTTTCTCCTAGATTTTTTCAAAATTAAACCCAATTTCCTTGATTAATCCCTAACTTTTTTTTGCAGATATTTGAACTTAATGAATTTTCCTTGGTTTTTATGATTTCCCTGATCTGTTTGACACCCTGTGATATTGTGGTATGAGTGAAACTGTATCTGCTTTTAACAAACAATTATTGGTTGGGAATAGTGATTGGAATTGGAAATAGTGAGTGGACCTGTGGATATGGTGTAGAATGTGGAGTGTACCTTAAGGAAGTTTAGTTTGAGCATGTAGTGCATAAAGATGCAAATGATTGGGAATGAACATGCAAAAAGGTCAGTAGCAACAAGAGAAAAATATAAAGGTCTACCATTAGTAGTAAGGAAAATTGGAGATTGTGTTACGATAACATGTACGTATGATGATGGTAAATAATGATGATGATGATGATCATGATGATGATCATGGTGACAATGATGTTGATAATAATGATAACAAAACGCAAAACAATTTTTATTGAATTTCTAAAGATATACATTAAACATACTGCACTTTTACTGGTGCTTTTGCCATTTAAATACCATGAGTGACTACTTGATTCACACTCACTGTCATTTTTTGACCCTTTATTGATAATTCTTTTCACAACAAGATTAGGTCCATGACTTTTAAACCTTAATAAAAACAATACATTAAAATAACAAAAAAAACACAATATATTTAAAGTATATATAAGTAAAAAATTTGTTTTCATTGAGGTTGTCTCATAATTTCTATGATAACTCAAAACATTTTTAATGATAACTCAAAACAACATCTCTAAAAAGTAAATTGTTAAATATAAAAAACAACATCTTGTAAAAAGAAATCAGATTTTTGCTTAACTCAACAAAGGTTATAAAATTTTTTCTCTTAAAATTTTGTATCAGCATTTTTGTTATCATTACTATTATCATTTGTTACATTATCGTATTATTTTTATGTTATGTTTGCATTTTTGTTTTTTTAACTCGGTATGAGTTGTACTAAACAGACATAAAAACTTGCAAAAATTTAGAAATCATATCAATTTTTAAAAATTTCAATTTAGAAGTAAATTAATATCATCTTAATATTAATTCTCTAATTTAACTTATAATGCCGTTTTAATTTCTTTTAAATGGACTTGGTTACATAGGTTATAAAGAATATAATTGGTTAAAATAGAATCAGCTAAAGTGTAATAAGCTATTTATGAAAAGTTTAATGTGCTTCGTTATAACGATTACGGTTTATTTTGGGCAGTTTATTGACATCAAATTTACCAATTTTAACAAGAACTAATCAGGTAGCAGGTATAAAATTAAAATAAATATTTTATTTAAAATTAATATTTAAAAAAATAATTCTATTTTTTAATTTGATTATAACTTAAAACTATTTTTTTAAAACAAATTGTTTGTAAGCTATTAATTTAATGGGCTTAGTTACTGTTTAATGAGCTTAGTTACAATTGTTAGTTATTCTCCTGCGTAGATTCTTTAACTTAAACTGTGTTCTAAAACTTTCAATAGTAGTTTTAATAAATAAATGCTTGTTTGCTGTTAGATGTTTTGTGTTTTCTAATTTTTCTCAGGTACTATGGAGGGAGCTTTAGTCCTTTTTAGTTAGTTCAATTCATTTTATTCTTTTTAAATTATTTTTTGCTTACCAAAAAATTATAAGAATTAACAAGAATGAAATTTTTTAGATAGTCAAACTGATACTGATTTTAGTTTACTATTTAGTTTTATTTTCAGTTAGAATTTTATTTAATATTAACATGAAAAAATAAACAAGAATGTCATATGTTAACATGTAAATCTGCGTATATTTCAGTAGTTTTATATATCTCTGTATTTGTTTGTATACTTTCTCTTGAAAAAATAATTACAAATTTTATAAAAAATAAAATATTGTGCTGGAAGTAGTCGAAATAAAAAAGTTAATAGAAATAAAATAAAAAGAATATTCATCATCCATATTTCTTTGTTTAAAGTATTAAGCTTTTTTTTAAAGGTCTTTGAACATATATATATATATATATATATATATATATATATATATATATATATATATATATATATATATATATATATTACAAATTATCACTTTTTCATTGTCTTTAGATGACACCATCAAAATGTGTTGTATTGCGTGGTCAAATTTTGTTATCAACACAAAGCACAGTGAGCGTTTTCCATTTCATAACAATATTGTTTGATTTTTGTAGGCATTTGAAGTATAACTTGATGCATTTTTTAACATGGGAAGAAGCGACGAAAGCACATTTCAGCAGGCCAGGGGATCAGGTTACAATTATGTAAGATGTCCAGCTGGACATTGCATGAATCCAAAGTATACACTGAAAACAATTAGGCACCCCCCAAGTGTTATGGTTTGGGGGTGTATCTCCAGTCAAGGAACTGGGCACCTTGAGCTTATGGATGGCACAACCAGACTGAATGCTCAGTCGTATATTGATGCTTTGAATAGAAAGTTAAAGGTACACATAGTGATTTCTCCGGTTATCCGGTTTTGCGGTTAACCGGATTTTGTTTGAATATCAAATATCTATTTTCGAATAATAAAAACCGACTTAAAAATGTTACGAAATTTTATAGAAAGTAACATCATAATTATGACAATTATTGTTTGACAAATGTTAATTTATCAAAGATTATAATATATTTCTTTTATTAATTTAAATGTTAATTTAATCAGTTTTGTTTGATAATATATTCTTAAAACAATTTACAATAGAAATCTCAAAGATTTATTTATTACTTTTACAACTCAAGCAATACATTTTTAAGAAAGTTTCTTCAGAATATACTGGAACTCTAATTCACTTATTCAGCGTATTTTTTTAACCAATAGAATTTGTTTATTCGTAGATTTGGCGATATTTTAGTGTTAGCAAATATTCTTTATATTATCTTTATGCAACAAGTTGTTTTGAGAACATTCAAGTATATCTAAATTTTAAAAGACATCATTAAAGAGTTTGAAATATAATTAAATTAAAACTTCTATTATATATATATATATATATATATATATATATATATATATATATATTTATATACTTGACAACGAGGGTATCAATAATCCCTTGAAATATTGTATAAAAATTAATAAAGAGTTACATCCATAATAGAAGTTTTAATTTAATGAAGTTTATCTATGTTTCCATCTATGTCCGCATAACAATACACGCTAAAAAAATTTACTTCATAACATCTCATTTTTCCAAATCAAATGTTTTTATATGAAAGAATGATTTTAAAATATCCGCTGATATTAAAACATTTAAACTATACTTGTACATTATTCCTACCTTTTTTAATTATATAATTAAAAAGGTATATTATATTATAATATAAAAAATATATATATCTTTTTCCATGTTTTGTTATAAATATATAATATAGGACTGTATTCACTAACTGTCTTGAAAATGTACACTTTAACATTAATTTTTAAAAAAGTAGTTTAAAACGCTACGTTCGTTGAAATTTAGAAGATCCTGTATTCAGAAAACGTCACTAATTAACCGAATAGTCGGTTAACCGCAAATTGATGAGAACTGTTATCTGATTTTTGAAACGGATAACCGGCGAAATCACTAGGTACACATGAATATTTCAAGTACTACAATATTCCAACAAGATTTGGCACCATGCCATGTTGCTAAGAAACACAGAACTGGTTTACGACAAACGGCGCTATGACCTTGGCCAATAAGTTCACCGGACTTGAACGTAATAGAAAATTGCTAGAATTTAATGAAAAAGAAAGTTGCGGCACATCAACCCAAGTCAGTAGATGACCTGAAACGTATTGTGAAGGACGTTTGGGTGAAAGAAATTACGACGGATTATTGTAAAACTCTGGTTCGTATTGATGCAGTGTTGAAAAACCGTGGTTTTCCAACCAAATATTAGTGCATAAACTGATAAATAACAAGGACTGATACGTTACACATTGTGCTATATCAATTAATCAAGTTGCCAAACATTTACGTTAAAAAGTATAAATATTTTCTGTTGTGTTGAAGAAAACTTGTGAAATTTCATGTGGCCTTAATTTTTTGCACACAACTGTGTTATATATATATATATATATATATATATATATATATATATATATATATATATATATATTTATATATACATACAATAATTCGTCGTTTGGTTTTTTGAAAGGCTTATATGAATTTTCAGAGAGGTTAAATGTGACATCAAGAAAGTTCACAATTTTTAAATTTATGTTTATTTCGATTTGAAAGCCAATATTTTTAAAAATTTTTATAATATATTTTGGAATATTATCGAGCTGTGGACCAGATTTTTTACGCATTACTATTAAACCATCATCATGTTAAAGGCCTAAATCATTTATATTATTTTACTTAATAAATTTAAAATGCGTAGTCCAACAAACTCACAAATTTTTGCTCGGTCATAACTGCCCATTGTCACATTAAAGAAGTCGTATATGTTTTTCTTTTTCCAAGTTTCCTTATTAAAGTAAAGTTAGGTTTTTTTACAATGTTTTATTAAACGGATTGTTTCTTCAGGAATAACTGTGTGGCTTTTTACAAATTCGATTGTTTTATTTAAAATATCTGCAGTTATTGAAGGGTATCTATTTTTTTTTTTTTGAGATGTTTTAAATTTTTTTTTAATTAATAGTTTTCCACTACTATGCAGTTACGTAATTTTTTTAATACATGTTAAATTATCGCCCCTGTCATTAATAAATATTTTAAATTATAAAATATGGTTTTCTTTATAATAGGTTGTGCTAGGCCTCAGTCCGGTAGGTGGCGACTGATATAACTTATCTTTATATTTTAAGTACATTTATTTCATGTCTTCAACGTTAATTGATTTTAAAGAAAATTGACAATTGCTGTGTTTTATCTGTTCTAGTAAATATTATATATAATTACTAAAATATCATTTATATATTTTACATAAATTTGGTTTAAAGATATATAAATTTAAGACATTCTGTTTTTATGGATTTGTTGAAAGATTTTTTGTTAACGCAAGTTTAAATGTATATTTTTTGAGATATATCTGCGATATAACTTTTTCATCCCATTACCTATACACAAATTAATGAAAATTTTGAATAAAACTAATACAAAATTAAGACAAAATATATTCTGGATACTTTTCGCTGATTATTTTCTGCATTAGTAAATATGACTTGGATAAATGCTGGAATAAATATATGGTTGGCATACTTTAACAGCTGTAAGGTAGCTCTTTATATTCACTTACTGTAATTTTTTTTTTTTTAATTTTTGCTGCATTATTAAACAAAATAAAGATAAGTAATAGAATAAAACAAAGTTTCAAAGCACAACTAACAATAACATTTATTACACAAATGTTAGTCAAAAAACACACACACGATGTTATAAGAGCCTAAAGATTTAAGTCAACTTTTATATTGACTTTGTTATACGCATAAAATGCTCTAGCAACACAATAGTAAACTTTAAACTCTCTAAAGAACCTAAGATAATTACTTTCTACCATTTTCTGTAACTTATTGAAAACAAGTAAAAAATAAGTGGAAAAAGTGATTCAGATCTATCATGACCCGTTTTACAGGTCCAGACTTTCTAGTTATTATTATTACTCAATCGGAATTAAATATTTATAATTACACTTACAGTTCAATTTCAATAACAGCTTGTTTTGTTCGATGCTTTACATAATCTCCAACCTGCAATAAATAATTCTTAACTTTATGAGATCATAGCACACCAGATTATTGTTACAAAAAAAAATTAGAGAAAACAAGATTTTATAGTACTCTGTTTTAAGTTTAATATTTCTTATTTAATTAATTCTGTCTTGTCTTAATGAAAAGATAAAGTCTTATAAGATGGAAAATTAGACTTGATTAATTACATTATTAAAGATTTTTGAAATGTCTCAAGATATATGAAATTTTAGCTCATATATCTAAAATTTTGGCTCATATATCTAGAAACATTTTTTCTGGGGAGATTTGTTCTGGTTTATGATCTTTATTAAGGCTTGACTTTAAACATAGGAATAAAATCTTCCATGCTTACCTTAACCCAAAGAATTATATTGAAGACATTTCATTAGAAAAAACATTTAGTTAAGAAAAATAAAAGACTTAAACATTAAGATAAAAGGTTTAAACAAAGAAAATGACAAATGGAAAACCAGGTTAGAAACACAAAAACAGATTTTAGAAAAATAATTAAAGTGATGCTAAATTTTTATTAGTATATTATAAATTATTACAGATGACTTAAACACAGATACTTAGCTTTATTTAGATACCAGGATAATAAAAAATACATCTTTTTAAGGTAACTAGTTTTTCATGCTTCAAAATTTTTTTCAATTTTATTTTAATATATCAAACAATGGAGTATTGGAATTTTCACAATTTTCTTGTTATCCTTGCTTGTACAAGTTACAGTTGTCTCATAGAATTCAACTAATTTACAAAAATTCAAACATAAGTCTTAACTGTTTATCTTTTATACTTATTTGTTTCTGAAACATATTTAAAATGAATTTAAAAACTTCATATTTAATTAAAGTAAGCAAAAAAACTTACATCTTTTGCTCTACCAAGCAAGAGAGGGGATCCACCTAAACCCAAACAAATTGCACAAACAATAGATGACTTTCCAGTTCCTGAAAAATTAATAAAAAAATTATTTAACATTCTTTTGAAGAATAAAGAAGCTTACTCTAAAACAATCAAAATTTCTCTACAAGTTCTTTTTATGTAATTATGATGTCCCTGAATGTATCTTATTTCATGATATATTTTGAACTATAACTGTATCAGTTATTTCCATTGTTTCTAAAAAAATTGAATTAAAAAAAGCAGTTGCTAAGTTGTGTCATCTAAAAAAATAAAAGAATTTTAACTTTAATTAGAAAAATGACTCAAAGTGGTGAGAAGCATAAGTAGTCACACTTGTGTATTAAGAATAAGTATTAAAAACAAAAAAAGAATTTTATTTAGGAAAACAAAAAACATAGTAATAGTGTAGGCCTCCCACCCCTTAAAACAGCGGTGGAAGTTGTCTTCTTTTCATCCCTGCTTTAATTTTACAATGGGCTTGCTGTAATTCATTTCTTGTGCTGTTTTTGTGAAGCAAACACTTTTTCAAATCACTATTTCCTTCAAAAACTAAATTGTTAGCAACTGATAGACCATCATGCATCAGCAACTCATTAATAGATTTTATGGATTTGCTTGTCATTATTATTAACATATAAAAGCTTAGTTTTGATAAATTTGGACATTAGTGCAACAAGAGGTTTTGACATTTCAGAGTTGAATTCTTGGTTTAATTGAAATGTTTTTAAAAATATTTCAAAATCATTTGCTTTGAAAACAATAAAAGAAATATAAGACTCGTATATCTTCCAGTATCTCTAAAAGTTGATTTGAAAGATGTAGTTGTTGGAAAAATTTTTATAAAATATTCACAAAAATTCTTGTGTTATTCTAAAATCTGAGAACATATTCTTCTGTGTCATCCATCTTGTTGAAGAATGTCTTTAAATAAAGTGTGAATTAATTTCTGTAAGATCTTCTATTTGTCGATAGTCCAACCTTCTTGCAGCAGAATGTTTAAAGAAAAAGTTAACATCAATTGCAAACGAATCATTTGCAATGTTGTTAACTTTTTATGTTAAAATTTAAAACATTAACCTTGCTCTAAATGCATTATAAACTATATGCAGGGGGCATGTGCCTATTGATATAATGTTTGTATTCAAACTTTTCATTTTTTCTGACGACAAACTCTCAGACCTAATATTTACATTAGCAAGATTCATACCAATATGGAGCATAAACTTTATGGTAAGCTTAACTTTCTCTAGAAGCTCAAGGAAATGTTCTAAAACCTTTTCAGCAGTACAATGGTCTACCATTACAGTTCCACATAATGCAATTTTAATGCATTTGTACTTTTTAGACAAATATTGTACATAACCATCATATTTATTAACTTGTTGAGCTGCAGATTTTTCGAATTTAAATGTATTGTTCAAGTTTAAATGTATTGTTTAAATTTAAATGTATTGTTCAAATTTAAATGTATTGTTCAAATTTAAATGTATTGTCCAATTACAATGTTTTTAAATATGGAAAGATGCTGTATCTCCATTGGTTATGGCAAATGAATAGTTAGACTCACACTTTTAAAAAAATTAATTCTGATTGTCCTTCTCTTTCTTTAAACTTTGATGTGTTAAGTTTGATAATTTCATGGCTTTTTACTTGTCCAGTTCCACTTCCAATTTTTAATAATTTAAAATTTGTAACTTACAGAATACTGATCACCAAGAAAAACTTGGACCCAGTTAAACCTAAAATTTATTATACTTTGTTTTCTCTTAGACATCTTATAAATATAAATAAACAGTAAACAATAAACAAAATATAAATAAACAGCAAACAATAAACAAAATATAAATAAACAGCAAACAATAAACAAAAAATTTTTACAACATTTTCATAGACTGATCTAAAAACAACAATAAATTTGACAATTATTGATAATTTCATACTCAATAGATAAAAAAGGATAGATACAGAGAACAGATAATTACAATTAACATTCTTATACACACATTCAGGCTGTGTTAGTCAGCCTGATGGCACCGCATATATATATTTTTTTATTTGCATTCACTCCCAACAAGGCTGCAAGCATTTAAGTTAATTAAGTCGGGAGTTACTAGGAAAAAAAAAGAACAGAGTTATAGAGTAAGGAAACGGTTGACAGAAGACTTGAAAAGTTAAAGGTTGTATGAGTCAGGAAAACATGAAGATGGGAGAGAGTTCCAAAGGATTGAAGTGCGGGGAAAAAAACTAGATGAATAAAAGTTTTTAGAGCATGCAGGGACAGATACAGTAAACGAATGAGACTTAGCTGAATGACAAGTAAAACGAGAATGAATTTTAGTTGATGGAACTAGAGATGATATAACGCGATATTCCCAATTGGTTTAAAATTCCAAAAGGTTCATAAGATCCAATAATTTAAAGATTTAATAAAGTGTTGTGCTAGACAAGTAAAAAACACAATTAGGACGCACGATAAAGAAATGAATTAAGTTGATTGATTTTTTTCATGTGTAAAAAAGCGTTTTTTATTATCAAGCAAAATCAAAAGTTAAATAAAAAAATTTTTTTTCAACTTTTAAATGAGGTCAGTTTTTCTTTAGTTAAGATTTTAGTTTAATAATACTTAAAATTATGTTTTCATGGATCCCAAACTCCCAACACATGTTATGTTTATATTAAAGATAATGTTGAAAATAAAGGTTTGAACCAAGTTTTTTTTTATCAAAATAAATAATGAATGCATACTGAAAAAAACTTATCTTCTCGTTTTAGTTAAAGTTCTTTAATTTTACTTAAAAATCTGAGTCTTCAAATTATACTTCGCAATCTACAGACTTCAGCAACTCCTTTGAAGCGCTTCAAAGAAATTGCCGAAATTATTTGTTTAATTTATTCTTATTATTTAAAAACTCTTTAAATATATTTTTACTGTTTATCTTAAGTTAGGAATGTTACAAATATTTTTGCATATTAATAAATATTTTAATTTAAAAACTTATTTAAATCTTAGCATATTAATAAATAAAATTATTAATAAATAAAATTATTAATAAATAAAATTATTAATAAATAAAATTATTAATAAATAAAATTATTAATAAATTTTGTACTTTAATTTAAATGCTATCGATTTAAATAAGTTTTTTAACTTTAAATTTATTTAAAAATAAAAATTATAACATAAAATTTGATGAACAAAAATACGAATATCTATGTAAAAAAGTTTGAAAATTTTAATTAAGTATTTCAAAAATTTTAGTTTTGAAATACATATGATTTAAAAACTTAAATATTCAAAAACTTTCAATATAATTAGGGTTGCCAGACATCTAGCTTTTATGAAGGAGAATACAGCATGAAACCTGTAAAAATAAATTTTTTTACTATGTTCTCCTTTGTAAAAGCAGGATCTGGCAACCTTACATATAATATTTAGTATTTTTATTGACAGTCATTAATTAAAAAGCTGTCTAAACTATTTGAAAAGTTACAAGAGGATCGTCTGGATATCGTCTCATTGAAAAAGTAGGAGATCGTCTCATTGCATTCTGATTGAGGATCAGAATGCAATGAGCTTTTTTTTTTAGGCAACATCTCAAATCCCAATTTTGAAAAAACGCTGTATTAACTTTTTTCCTGGCTAACACCCTAACATTTCTATAACACACATAAATTCGAATTGTACAAAATTAACATTTATTTAAATAAATCTTATAAAATTTTAGGACAATTTCAGACATAACCTTATAGATTATGACATTTAATGAAAAAAGTAAAATGTTTAAAACTTGGATATTTTTGGACTGTGGGATAGACTGGGAGACCCGCTAGTTCAAATACTAATCAACTTGCAAAAAGAGAAAACTGATTTTTGGTAATTTAGTCATCCCTCAACATCAACAAATCTAAACTACCTGATTGTTGAAAAATAACAAAATATGTCTTGTTTATATATCTGTGACAAAAATAAAGTGAAGTAAGGAAATATTGCTTAAATTCTAGTAAATGCTGTTATTTTATTTTGTATAAATAATATATACATTTTTTAACTGTAATTACATCCTCAAGGCTTCTTCAAAAAATAGTATTCAAAAAAAAAATTTAATCAAAGTAATGTTTTTATTTCAAAATTTTAATTAAATAGAAGTATAAAGTATATTCTTCCTCTTTTCCATTCTCTTCCTCTGTTCCATTCACTTGTACATTTTGAGTCAGGTGGTTTTACAAATACTTCTTGTTCTTGTGTATAGTTGTGGAGAACTTCTTTGTTAGTTTTGGTAGAAATCATATGTGGTTTCCACTCATAGGAAAATATAGAGATTTATTTGTAAAGGAGCAATGTTTCTTCGCCATTTTTTCTGGGAGTCACATTATACCAATATACCATTTTTAACGGATCTTTGCCACTTCTGGCTGCCATACGCTTGATTGTGTGATGATGACGTTCAACAATTTCATTTCCAAATGGCTTGTAAGCGCAACGAAACAGGATGGACATTCCCCATTCTGCGCATAATTCACTAACAAGTTTTGAGCAAAAGGTCTTGCTGTTATTAAGAAGAACTTGACACAGAGGTCCTCTTTCTTGGAATATTTCTTCTAATTGGAAGCACACTGTTGTTTCTTTCTCATTCTGTAGCTTCCTCCGAATTGCAAACTTGCTCCTTTTGCCACAGTCAATGATAGACAAATAAACCTCTGATTTATAGTGGGTAACGCCAATAGCTAAACAGTACTAGCTCTTTCCAACTTCAAGATTTCCTCCTTCCCATCTAATTGGTGCAGGATCCACTGATAAACATCTTTCGCAACTTTTTACGACTGACTCAATGTCTTTTTTACAAAGTTTCTCCTTTGGACATGTCAGTTTCATCAAATAAAGGGTTCAATTTACTCCAAAGTGAAGATTATGAAACTACTTCACATCAGGCGGTGCAACGTTTGCTGTCATTGCAGAATGGTTGGAATGCAGCCAATTCTGTGGTACCCCGTAAGAGCATCGGCTTTATTTTCTGCTGACTTTACCAGGAAAAGTTTTAATTGT